ACCCCCCACCGAGGACGCGCCCGCAACCAAGGTACATGCCCCTGCCGGGAATCGAACCCGGGACCTTTCAGTCCGCATAGCCGAAGCTCTATCCACTGAGCCAAACTGGTCCCGGCAAGACGCGAACCTTTAAAAAGCCAGCGGCACGCGCTCAGGGACAGCCAACTGGCGCAACAAAAAAATACAATTGATCAGTTTCCCTACAAGACAAGGGTCGCTTGGGGAAGTCAACGTGGCGGGCAGAGGAGACACAACCGGGAAGAGGGCAGCATCGGACTAACGGGGTGCGGGGCCGGGCAGGTGGGGGGTGGAGGGCGGCGGAGAAGGGTCCCGCCGGCGCGCGCCAGGCACCTCCACCCGCTCGGGTCTGGAGAGAAGGTGGGAGCTGCGAGCGCCCTGACGTTTGGCCGGAAAGCTGCCTCGGGCACTAGGATGTGCGCTCGTTTGTATCAAAGGAACCCTAGGCCCTTCCCCGGCGCTAAGAACCTGGGTGTCGGGCACCGCGGTGAGACTCGGGAAGGAGTGGCGGCGGGGGTCCCTCCCTCGGGCGCCGGCTCCGGCTTTGGGGTTTTGGGGCCGGGCGCGCGGGGCGCGGTGGCGGGCAATGTGAGCGGGGATGGGGGTTGAGTCGGCGCTGAGGTAGCAGCTGCCGAAGGGAAGATGGAGAAGGAAAGCCCCGGGGCCTGGGAGGTGAGCGGCCGGCAGAGATGGGCCAGCGGGGCAGCTGATGGGAAAGGAGAGGAGGCGGTCACCCTGCAAAGGTGCGTGGCCGGAGAGGAAGAACTGGAACCCCAGCGAGAGCAAGGAGAGGGGAGGGAGGTGGTGCTGGAGAGAGGCGGGGGTGTGTGTGTGTGTGTGTGTGTGTGTGAGAGGGCAGGGGAGGAGGGAGCAGCCCAGATGAGTTTCTCACGGCCTGGGGCTGGCAGGAGAGCGGACAGACGCCAGACGCCCCGTTCTGCTTCCTTCTCCTCTCGGTTCCCAGGCAGCGCTCGGGGGCGAGGGCCGTCGAGGCCAAGGGCGCCCTAGGGTGGCTCAGGATCAGCCCGAGGCCCGCCCCCTCTTTGTCCCCCCCACCCCCCGTCGGAGTGAGCACGCGTCCGCAGCCCTACCCAGCCAGCTCCGGGGCAGCTTTCCTCCCCGCCCGGGACCCGGGAGACACTCCTGGGAGACCCGGAGGGGCGAGGAGGAGCGAGGGAGGCGGCGGGAGGCGACCTAGATAGCGACCCCGCCCCCATTCCCTCCCGCCCGCTCCCAGAGGCCCGACCCGCCGCGCCCGCAGGGGTTAAGGCGCCGCAGGTGCGGGGGGCGGGGCCCGGCGCCGGGAAAAGGGGGCGCGGGCCCGGGATGCAGGCAGAGCGCGGTGAGTCACGGCGGCGCTGGCCTCGCTCGCTCGCTCCTGGATCGCTGGCTCCCGCCGCCCTCCGCCCTCCTCCGCCGGGTCGGGTCGCGGCCCCCGCTCGCCCTCGGCCGCAGAGCCCGCCCGCGCCCAGGCCCTGGAGCGCCCGCCGGCAGCGCGCCGGCCCGCCGAGCCCGGAGCCCGCGCAGCCTCCAGGTAGGAGCCCGGTCCGGGCGGCGCGGGGTGCGCGCCCCCGGGGTCCCCTCGGAAAGACGCGCCCCAGCTTCCCTCCCGGGGCCCTGGGGGAGCAGAACCCGAGGGGCTCAGAGCCCCAGCGGAGAGGAAACTGGGCGGACGGGAGAGACTGGAGGGACGGAGAAGACAGACGGGGAACTGGGGAAACTGGAGCGACTGGGACAACCGGCGGACTTGAACCTTAAGGACGGGGAGTCCGACCGCCGCCTGAGCCCGGGGTCCGGAGAGGCAGCCGGGGGTCCGAAGAGGCAGGTGGGGGTCCGGAGAGGCAGCGGGGAGGAGGGGATCGGGGTCTCCGGCCGCCTTCCCGCGACGGGGCCGCGGAGCCGGGAGGGTGCGTCTTGCGGGCTCCCACCCCGAAACCCTGAAACCTGGCCGGCAGGCCGTGCACCCCGGGCTTGGGCTCCCTGCCCTGGGCCGGGAGGGGCCCCGCGGTGGAGCCGGGGTCCGTAGCCTCCCCACCCCCTAGCCTCTGGGGCCGTTCCCAGGCGCCAAGAGCTGTTAGGGTCCCAGGCCGCCCCGTGCCGCCCGGCCCCTCCCGGGCTGCCCCGCCTGGGCCCGCGGCTCCGCTCCGGCAGCTTCGCCCTGTTCCTTTCTTGTGGTGAGGCCGCCGGAGCCTGAGTAGGCGCCCCGGCCCCCCTCTCTCTCCTCCTGCCAGACTCCCGCGGCCACCTCCCTGCTCCCGAGGCAGGAGGCAGCAGGGTCAGCGGAGCCCCGCCGCCGGGAAAGTCCCGGCCCCAAACCAGAGACCTCCGCTGCCGATCAGATAGGAACCCCATACCTGGGTCTCCCGGCCTTAGGGAGGGGTGGCGAGAAGAGGGGGACCTAACATCACAGATAGGTGGTCCAGAAAGGGGTGCAGGTCTTCAAAGTCCCCATGGCCCAGGGAAAGTGGAGAGACCTGGTTCACAGAGATACAGACAGCACATACTGTGTGTGTGTGTGTGTGTGTGTGTGTGTGTGTGTGTTTCAGCCTCACCAGAGGATATTTTTCCATTGATTTTTAAATATATATATATATATATATATATATATATATATTATTGATTTTGTACAGAGGAAGGGAGAGAGATAGAGAGCTAGAAACATCGATGAGAGAGAGTCATCGATCAGCTGCCTCTTGCACATCCCCTACTGGGGATGTGCCCGCAACCAAGGTACATGCCCTTGACTGGAATCAAACCCGGGACCTTTCAGTCCCCAAGCCGAAGCTCTATCCATTGAACCAAACCGGTTTCGGCTGATTTTTTTTTTTTTTAAGAGAGAGAGTGGGAGAGGAGAGATCGAGAGAGAAACATTGATGTGAGAGAGAGAGACATCGATTGGTTGCCTCCCGCTTGCACCCATACCAGGGCTGGGGATTGAGCCTGCAACCGAGGTACATGCCCTTGACAGACATCAAACCTGGGACCCTTCAACCTACAGGTTGACACTCTGTCCACTGAGCCCGACTGGCCAGGGCCATGCTTGTTGATGGAATGAATAAATGAGTGTCTTTGTTCAAGTCACTTCTCCCAATACTGCCTCAGTTTCCTCTTTTTTTAAAAGAAGGGTGTCAGTCTGAGCGGTAGATCTCAACATTTGGCTGCCTGTTAGAATTATCCGTGGGACTCCTATAAATGGCCCAGCTGGCTGAAGCATCATTCCATACACCAGAAGGTGGGAGGTTTGATTCCCAGTCAGGGCTCTTTCTCTTTCTCTCTCATCTTCCTTTGAAGTTAATTTTTAAAAATGATTAAGTTAGCCTCTTATTTAGAACTTACTAGTTATATTCTTTAAAAAACAAATAAAATAAAAATGACCCACGCTCAGAATACATCCCTTTATGAAAAACCTCTTTGGGCAATTCTTCCTCTTAACTTCTGTGATTCTGGCTTTTCTGTTGCCCTCTGCTCCCTCCTCACCCCACCCCCCACCCCCCGCTCTGACCCTGCATCCCTTAAGGAGTTTTTGGTTTTTGTTTTATTTTTTCCTTTTCTTTTTTTAGTATTTCCCTTTTTTCTTGTTCTTCTTAAATAGCTGCTATATATCTATATCTATTTGAATATAGGCATATATAGATATAGATATTGTTATGGATTTCATAGTGGAAGGGATAGGGAGAGAGAGATAGAAACATCTATGATGAGAATCATTGACTTGCTGCCCCCTGCACACCCCCTACTGGGGATGAAACCTGCAACTGGGGCATGCGCCCTTGACTGGAATCGAACTGGGGTCTCGGCAGTCCACCAGCCAATGCTCTATCCACTGGGCCAAAGGGCTAGGGCAGGAGTGTCAGTTTTACCTTCGTGAACTTGATGGTAAACTCTCCTCCTGACCCCCTTCTCTGGGGGAGCCAACCCCTCCCGCCCGCTTCACAACTGGGTTCCCCTCCATGGCAGGAGGGCCAGGTAGCAGCAGCCAGAGAGAGCTGGCTGGCACCAGTGCGGGGCGGGACTGGGGAGGGGGCTTAACTTTCTCTGGTGGCCAGAGGGCCCCCAGAAACAGCACTGGCTGAACCCCAGGGCGGTGAAGTCCTCGCCGGAGCGAAGAGTGAGGGCCGGGCAGGGAGCTGGGGAGAGTGAGGTCGGGCAGTGAACATGCCTCCGAGATGGAATTCGGGTTTTTGTTTTCTTTTCCAAAACCCCAGAATCTGCTTTGGGCTTTGGGAAGTCAGATAACCTCAAGCTCTGAGTTTCAGAAGCAGGCCTCCCCCCTCTCCCCTCCTGTACCCCAAGGTAAAGTGGGAAAGCTGTGATGGGCCGGCAGCAGGTCTGCAGGGGAAAGCCCTGCCCTACGCGGGCCTGTGCAGCCGGGGCAGGCAGGGTGAGCACTGTCCTGTAGGAGTGCCCTCCCCACCAGCCTGGGACCAGCCCAGCTCCCAGGATAAGCTGGGTCCTCCAGGAGAGATAACCTAGGCCCGTGGTCGGCAACCTACGGCTCGCCAGCCACATGCGGCTCTTTGGCCCCTTGAGTGTGGCTCTTCCACAAAATACCACGGCCTGGGCAGGTCTATGCTGAAGAAGTGGCGTTAGAAGAAGTTTAAGTTTAAAAAAATGGGGCTCTCCAAAGAAATTTCAATCGTTGTCCTGTGGATATCTGGCTCTGTTGACTGATGAGTTTGCCGACCACTGATAGGGGAAGGTAAACTTCCATCATCCTCTGCCCTTGGCCGAGACCTTCACCTCCTCCAGGCTTCCGTAGCTCTCAAATCCTCTGAACGGATCTTGAGTCCCCCAACCGGGGGTGGCATTTCTCTTCTCACCTGGGGGCGGGAGAGGGAGGAGCGCTTCGCAGGGAGGGGACCGGGTTGGGACGGAAGGGGAGCTGGTGGTTTTGCTCACTCCACCTCTTCTCTGCCTCCTGTAGGTCTCACCTGAGGTGCCCCTGACGGTCCCTGTCCCCCAGCGCCCCCCGCACCCCGGCAATGCTAACCGCTGTCTGCGGCTCTCTGGGCAGCCAGCACTCGGACGCGCCTCACGCCTCGCCTCCGCGCCTGGACCTGCAGCCCCTCCAGACATACCAGGGCCACACGAGCCCGGAGGCGGGGGACTACCCCTCCCCGCTGCAGCCTGGGGAGCTGCAGAGCCTCCCGCTGGGCCCCGAGGTGGACTTCTCGCAGGGCTATGAGCTCCCGGGGGCCTCCTCCCGCGTAACCTGCGAGGACCTGGAGAGCGACAACCCCCTAGCCCCGGGACCCTTCTCCAAGCTCCTGCAGCCAGACATGTCACACCACTACGAGTCGTGGTTCCGGCCGACTCACCCGGGCACCGAGGATGGCTCCTGGTGGGACCTTCATCCGGGGACCACCTGGATGGACCTCCCGCACACGCAGAGCGCGCTGGCCTCCCCTGGCCACCCGGGGGCGCTGCAGGCCGGCCTGGGGGGCTACGTCGGAGACCACCAGCTCTGCGCCCCGCAGCCCCACCCGCACCCGCACCACCTCCTCCCGGCCCCCGGGGGGCAGCACCTCCTGGGGGGGCCTCCCGACGGTGCAAAAGCCCTGGAGGCGGTGGCCCCGGAGGCCCAGGGGCTGGATTCCGGCCTGGACGGGGCGGCGCGGCCCAAAGGCTCCCGGCGCTCCGTGCCCCGCAGCTCCGGCCAGACCGTGTGCCGCTGCCCCAACTGCCTGGAGGCGGAGCGGCTGGGGGCGGCTCCGTGCGGGCCCGACGCGGGCAAGAAGAAGCACCTGCACAACTGCCACATCCCCGGCTGCGGCAAGGCCTACGCCAAGACGTCGCACCTGAAGGCGCACCTGCGCTGGCACAGCGGCGACCGGCCCTTCGTGTGCAACTGGCTCTTCTGCGGGAAGCGCTTCACGCGCTCCGACGAGCTGCAGCGCCACCTGCAGACGCACACGGGCACCAAGAAGTTCCCCTGCGCCGTCTGCAGCCGCGTCTTCATGCGCAGCGACCACCTGGCCAAGCACATGAAGACGCACGAGGGCGCCAAGGAGGAGGCTGCGGGCGCGGCCCCGGGCGCCGAGGGCAAGGCCGGCGGCGCGGCGGAGCCCCCCGGGGGCAAAGGCAAGCGGGAGGCGGAGGGCGGCGCCGCTCCCTCCAACTGAGCGCCTCCCGCAGCCTCCCTGCCGGCCTGCCTTCCCCGGGCCTGGGGCATCGGGGCATCGGGGCATCGGAGAGAGCCCGCAGGCCTGGCGTCCAGGGGGGCGGCTTGGGGGTAGCAGAAGGTGCTTATTTATTGAGAGGGGTGAGAGGCGGTGTGGGGTCGGGGAGAGGGACGCTAGCGGTGTTGTAGTCTCTGTGGCCGGACAGGACGCGTTGGCCTGTTGGGCGGGCCGGGATGTGCTGGGGGGAGGGTGGGGAGCTGCGTGTGCCCCTCCGTTCTGGGGTCCCCCCGCGGGAGGGATGCGGAGGGCGGAGGGGACGCGCATCCCGGGAACACGGAGGCCGGGGCCGCCCCTGCGCCCGCCCCGCCGGGGGGACCTGTCTGGACGCGCCCTCAGCGCCTGGGAACCAGGACATAAAAGCGCCTCCGGATCCGCCCTGTGGCCTGGCCCCTTTCATCCCCTCCTGGTCCTTTCCCCGGTTTCCGGAGGGAGAGCTGAGACTGGGCAGGGAGGCTGAGGGTCCCCCTCGGGGAGGGCTCTCGCTTGGCCTGGGAGGCTGTGGCTGTAAAAGGAACTCCTTTGGGGCGCCTCCTGGTCACCCTTCCACACCCGGCGTGATGAAGCCAGGAGGGAAGGCGGGAGAGGGCCGGAGTCCGGGCAGCTTCCCGGCTAGCCCTCCCTGTGGGGCCGAGAGGAGAGCAGACCGGTGTGGGGCAAGCAGGTCCCCTTCTGAGAGGAGAGGAAGCAATGTAATGGGGGAAAGGGAGAAGCAGACCCTTCCGTTGGGAGCTCGGATTCGGTCCTTTGCTCTTGGTCTTGATGACAAATAAGGTTCAGTAGTCCCCACTCCCCATCTGACACCCCAGCCCCCCTCCACCACCACCATGGGAGCTTAAGAGGCTGCCAGGAGCCCCCGCTATAGAATTCATGTAGCGCCTCATCCTAGGTTCCCCACCACCTGCCTCCCCCCACGGGGATGGAAGTGACGGGGTGACCACGGCTTGTGGCTTGTGGGGGTCAGGCGAGGGTGCCTCCGCAGAGGGACTTCCGGGGCGGAGGGCTCTGCTCGGGGCCCCTCCTGTAGGGGGTGTGTGTGGGCCCCAGCCCTCTCCATAGGAGTAGCTCTCCCACCCGGAGGGGCTGCCTCCTGAGGGGGTGTCTGGGAGCTGTCCCGGTTCCTTCTTTAGATGTTAGAGGTGCTTTCTGGCTGTGCCCCCAGAGGAGCGGGGCAGAAGGGAGGGAGGAGTCCAGCAGAGGCGAGGGGGGGGGGAAGGAGCCGGGGAGAGGAGATGGTGGAGCGAGCGGACTCTCCCAGGCTTGATATGGAGGCAGCAGAGTTTCCCCCTGACCTCCCTCTTCTCATGCAAAGCCTTTTGTGAGGATTAGTTGTGTATTGGTTTTTAAGTTATAAGCGAAGGGTATTTTATTTAATATTAGGGCATGTGTTTGTGCATATCGTGTGTGTATGGGTGTGCGTGCATGTGAGTGCGTGCGAGCGTGTGTGTGTGTGTGTGTGTGTGTGTGTGTGTGTGTGTGTGTGTGTTTCTCTACTGAGCCTGTGGTCTCCAGCCAGGGAGACCCTACCTTGTTCACCCCGTCCAAGGTCCCGGGCTTTTGGCCTACGGTGTCTCTTCCTCCTTTGGGGACGCGGGGCCCAGTCCCAGCAGCTCACTGGGGCTGGGATCTGGGTGGGAGTGTGTGTGTGTAGAAGGGAGTCCTTCCATGGGACAGGGTGACTCTCCCAGCGGGGCACCTGGGCCTGGGGTAGTGTAAGAAATAATGTTCTTTCTTTCTGTTCCCTCTGGCCCCCAGCCCAAGGTCCTCTTCCTTGCCGAGAGGGTTGGGGGCAGGAGCGAGCTGGCAGTGCCCGCAGGTTGCCAGGGCCGGGAGAGAGAGGGGGAGAGAGGGAGGGCACCGTGGGTGTGAGATGCCTTTCTCCTCCACCCATCGAAACCAGCCGCCACCTCCCCGCGCTGCCCGGACGGCTTTCCCAGTGACCATCCGACGGGGAACTCCCCGAGGGAGCGTTGGTGGGGGTGGGGGACCTGGCCGTCCCCGCGTGGAGGCCCCCAGCTCCGAGGTGCCCGGTGAGGGCTTTGGTTAGGCTTTCTGTCTGCCCCCTTCTAGGCAGCCCCCTAGAGGAGAAATGTAGGAATTTTTTTTCTTTAACTGCTGTGAACCCACTTTGTTGGGGTGGGGGAGGGAGGAGAGGAAGAAACAGCCTGTGTTTTTTATGCCACAATAAAGTCGTCAACCACATCGTTGCCTCATTTGTCTCCTAGCCCCGGCTTCCTCTCAGACTCGGTGTCCCTGAGCCTGAGGCGGCTGCTGCGGGGCGGGGCGGGACTTCCCTTTGATCTGCAGCCCTGGGCAGCCTCGCCTCCCTGCCTTTGTTTGGGGCAGAGCTGAGCTGATTGAAGGGTCCGATCCTGCCCCGGAGGTGGCTGGTTCAGGGGCGGGGGAGGAGCTCCCTCTGGGCCGGGAGCTCTGCTGGCTGCCCCTCCCTGGTCTAACCTGTGCCGATGAGGAAGTTCCAGATATTTCCTTCCTCCTCCACAGACGAGCCCCCTCTTTCCCCTCCCCTGCCAAGCACGCCGCGGGTCCCTGCCTTCCCTGAGACAGCCGGCCTCCCGCACCCTCCCCCACATGGGGGTGTGTGTGTGTGTCAATCGGTCCTTCTTGGCTGTGAGGAGTGAGTGGGGGTGACTGACAGCCATTTCTTCACCCAGATGATCCCTATCGGGAACAAGGCGATGAAAGCAGCCAGCATATCTGATGGGCGGCCGCCCAGCTGGAAGGCAAGAGGGGAAGGCGGCTGCAACTCCCAGAGAGAGACCTGCCGGTTACCCAACCGGCCGCGCACAAGTGCCCGCGCCGGACCGCGGGGCGCCCTCGCACACGCAGCGCTGCCCGTCCACGCGCACTTTCCCAGGCCGCCCGGTGCCTGGTATGTAGTTGGTGCCTAATTAATGCCAAATGAGTACAAAACCTCAACTCCAGCCAAAACCGGTTTGGCTCAGTGGGTAGAGCGTCGGTCTGTGGACTGAAAGGTCCCAGGTCAAGGGCATGTACCTTGGTTGCGGGCACATCCCTGGTAGGGGATGTGCAGAAGGCAGCTGGTCGATATTTCTCATCGATGTTTCTAGCTCTCTATCCCTCTCCCTTCCTTTCTGTAAAAAAAAATCAATAAAATATATTTTAAAGCCGGGACCGGTTTGGCTCGGTGGATGGAGCGTCAGCTTGGGGACTGAAGGGACCCGGGTTCGATTCCGGTCAAGGGCATGTACCTTGGCTGCGGGCATGTCCCCAGTGGGGGGTGTGCAGGAGGCAGCTGATCGATGACTCTCTCTCATCGATGTTTCTAGCTCTCTATCTCTCTCCCTTCCTCTCTGTACAAAAATCAATAAAATATATTAAAATATATATATATATATATTTTTTTAAAAACTGAGGATCCAGCCCTCACCCCGGGCATGTGCTCTGACTGGGGATTGAACCGTGACCTTCTAGTTTGTCGGTTGACACTCAACCACTGAGCCACGCTGGCTGGGCAGGTGTGACTCAGTGGTTTTTCACTTTCCCATTCTACCTTTTTTTTTTTTTTTTTCCCAAAACTGTTCTTTCTTTATCTAGTGGGATTTCTATTTCCCCCACTCTAACCCTAAACCAGTTTCTCAGAACCAAATCTGGTACCCGTCACAGGTTTGGGTCTGGGGCACCAGAATGATGCGGGGGTCAGACAGGAAGCCACACTGGTGTGTATGTGTGTGTGGGGGAGGCAAAAGCTTGTTCCCATCTGCTCCTGAGTTAGCATCTGGGAGGACAAACAGGTGTGTCTCCTGTGACCTCATGCCCGCCCCATTTCTTGGGGCGCTCTTTTGTTCTCCTGGTTCTGGGGGATTTAGACCCCAGGAACCCGGCGAGCCCTCTCCTGTCCCCCCAGCGCCGTCCCCAGGGCGCGGAGGGCAGCTCTGGGGCCGGCTGGGCCTGTCTGGGCGGGGCCGGGGCTGCCCCTCTTCCCGGTGCGGGTGCAGCTCCTCCCGCTGACCTGCATTCTTAGCGGGGGCCTGTGGCGGGCGCTGACGCTCCCTCGGCTCCTTCGCCTTGACAGCAATGCTGCCTGGCTGGCCTGGCCCCCCTGAGGGAGCCCAAGGCGGCCACCTCTGACCCTCAGGTCAGGAGCCCCTGCAGGAGGAGGCGGGAGGGAGGGAGGGAAATCAGAGCATCTGCACTGACCCTTTGGGCGACTTGTCGGAGCCGCCATCTCCTCTCCCCGGACGTGGGAGTAGGATTCCGAGGAGGGGAGTGAAATTGGAATGGAAAGTGGCAGGAGCCGGCAGCCTGGGAACCGCCGCCTGGGGCTGTGCTGCCGCGACGCCGCCTCTCCTCCTGCCGTTCCCGCCCCCTAGCGGGGAGCCGGGGAAGTGCAGGCGGAGAACCAGCTTTCTCGCTGGTTCTGGTCAGCCCACAGCCTTGGTGTTTGTTTCTGGAAATGCCCCGCAATGGCAGCCTTACCGCCCCTCCCTGACGCTGCACCCAAAGCAGCCTTCCCCTCCGCATCAGCCCGGGAAACCGGACTGCTCAGCGTCCAGTCCCAGCAGTGTGGGTTTGCAAAGAATCTCAGGAACAAACAGTCCTGTTGTTCCCAATCGGTAGACTATTCAGATTACCCATGGAGTTTTTCAAGATACCAAGATTCTCCGAAACCGGTTTGGCTCAGTGGATAGAGCATCCGCCTGCGGACTGAAAGGTCCCAGGTTCGATTCCGGTCAAGGGCATGTACCTTGGTTTCAGGCACATCCCCAGTAGGGGGTGTGCAAGAGGCAGCTGATTGATGTCTCTCGCTGTTTCTAACTCTTTCTCTCTTCCTCTTTGTAAAAAATCAATAAAATATAAAATTAAAAAAAAAAGATACCGAGGTTCCCTCCCCCGAACTCCACCCGGTATGCCCCGGGGGGGCTGTATTAGAGCAGCACTTCTCACACGTCATGCCCGAAGTCTGGTGAACATGCAGCTCCTCATTCAGGAGGTCTGAAGTGGGGCCCAAGATTCTACAATTTTCACAAGCTTTCAGATGACGCGGATGCCGGCAGTCTGCCGACATTTTGATAGCAGAGAATGTAAGTGCCGTGTTGTGCAGTGGGAGTTGTGTGGCTGAAAAATAGCCACCCTGGCTGGGAAGCTCAGTCGGTTGGAGTGTTGTCCCGATACACCAAGGTTGCAGGTTCAATCCCCAGTTAGGACACAAACAAAAGTCAACCAACGAATGAAGGAATAAAGTGGAACAACAAATCGATGTTTCTCTCTCCCCCTTCCTCTCTCTCTCATATCAATCAATCAATAAAAATGAAAAAAAAAATATTGCCCTAGCCTGTTTGGCTCAGTGGACAGAGTGTTGGCCTACGGACGGAAGGGTCCCGGGTTTGATTCCGGTCAGGGGTACATGCCCAGGTTGTGGGCTCAATCCCGAGGGGGGTGGTGTGTGGGAGGCAGCCAATCAGTGATTCTCTCTCATCATTGATGTTCCTCTTTCTCCCTTTCCCCTCCTCTCTGAAATAAATAAAAATACATTTTTTTGAATGAAAAAAAATTAACCCTCCCTCAGCCCACCTGTGGTTGAGAACCACGGAGGCCTTCGCAGGGAAAGTGACCTGCCCAAAGAGATCTGAGCACAAAAGCAAGCTCAAATGCCAGTCTGCAGAGTTCCAGGCAAGGCTCTGCCCAGCTTCTAGATCATTCTTCTTTCTAGGTCATTCTTCCGTTCAAGTGGCAGTCCCCTTCCTGAAAGTGCAGCCCATCTCCCTGGAGACAGCATCTTCTTGGGATACCTGAGGGCTTTTAGGAAACATCTCAAGTTTCAGGCCCCCAACAAACAGCCTTATCTGCCAGGTCTCCTCCCGCCATGGCCAAGCACACCCGCCTGCAGCCTGCCTCCGGGCAAAGCCTCAGACTCTGCCTTCATCCCACTCTAGGAGAGACCTGATACAGCAGCAGCCCTGGCTGTGTGGCTGATGGATGTGGGGGAAAATAGATAATCTGAAGTGTCTCCCCCATTCCTGAGGACTTCACAGAGCAAAAAGGGGTGGGATGCATTCGCTTAAATGCTGGACATGATGGAGATCGCTTACAGAGGAAAACGACCCAGGAAGCAGAACACTTGCGACCCCAGGTCTAGACTTCTGTTTCAGCTTCACTGTGTGTAAAGACACCGTATCTTTGGAGTAGAAATTTCCAAATGTTCTTACAAAGCACTGGGGGTGGGGATGGGGGGGAGAGGGTAGAATCAGTCTTTGGGGGTTGGATGGGTTTTATGTATAGGTGCCCTTCAAAAAGGTACTAACTTATGTATGTGTTCCCTTACATCTCCTGGCCTAGCCATTAAAAAAACAAAAACAAAAACAAAACCTTTTCGCTCAGCTGGTGTGTAATCAGTGATTGAGCCTGGACCTGTGAACCAGGAGGTCAGGGTTTGATGTGCAGGTTGCAGACTCAATCCCTGGTGTGGGGCGTGCAGGAGGCAGCCAATCAGTGATTCTCTCTCCTCGTTGATTTTCTCTCTCTCCCTCTCCCTTTCTCTCTAAAATCAATAAAAATATGTTAAAATAAAAAAATACTTTTTCCTTCTTTTTAAAAACATTTTTCCCCCCTCCAGAGAGAGAAAGGAAGATCAGCTGGCTCCTGCGTGTCCCCCATCAGGGATGGAGCCCACAACCTGGGCATGTGCCCTGGCCGGAAATTGAACCAGTGACTTCTTGGTGCATGGGACAAAGCTCACCCAACAGAGCCACACCAGCCAGGGACTGACCCTTCTTATAGATCTTACTGGGGAGGTGGGTGGGGCACCAGCCTGGGGTCCTGTCTTTGGAATTCACACCAGGGCACAAGTTCTTTATTTCCAGATGCCCCAGCACTCTCAGCTTCCTAATAAGCCAGCCCAGCTTTTCTTTCCTCTCCCTTCACGTGGCTCCTTTCCGCTCCAGCTCCTGCTCCCCACGGCGACCCTGTTGGAGTCGCGCGCTGGTTCTCAGCCTTTTCCTGCTGGAAAGCTGAGCCCCAGGAAGGGCCGGCAGCCAAGCCAGACTAGCACCGCTCTTCCCCCAGAAGCGGTGCTAGCGCACACCCTGGTGGCAGGTAGGGGAACTGCAGGCGTTCGGTTCCAGCTCCGCCCCCGGGGGCAAGGCCTTCCAGGTCACCTGGGAACCTCGGTCCAACGGGCAGACCTGACCCTCCACGGAGGCCCTGGCTCCCGGAACTAAGCTGGGATCTAGCAGGGAGAGAGGGTGAGGAGCATACAGTGCTGGGGAGCCAGAAGGGGCGGGCAAGAGAGGGGTGCGGACACTTGGGAGAGGCGCAGGGTAACAGGGGAGATGGGCTAGGGCGCTCAGAAGGGCAGGGCCCCGCCTGCTCATTCCTGAGCCCGGAGCGCGGGGGGAGAGAGGGGTGCCTCCGTGTCACCTTGCACATATGAGTGGGGTGGGGTGTGCATGGGGTGCGGGGCGTCCAGAACCCACCGGCACTGCCTCCCCTGAGTGTCTGTGTTCACGTGTCGGGGAGGGGCTCCCCAGCACTGATTCAGGCTAGGAGAGTGGAGAGGGACCCCTGGTCTCCCCCTCTCCCCAGATGGCATCTGACACCCCCTGTTCCTGTGACTGCTTTGTCTCCATGCCCCCGGCCTCGGCCATCCCGGCTGTGATCTTTGCCAAGAACTCAGACCGGCCCCGGGATGAGGTGCAGGAGGTGGTGTTTGTGCCCGCGGGCACCCACGCCCCCGGCAGCCAGCTCCAGGTGGGTTAGGCCTCCCGGGGTGCCGGGGGGAGGGGGGGTGGTGGCAGATGCAGGCGGTCTCCTAAGGCCTTTCTCCTCGCTGCCCCCGCACCTGGGAGGCCTCCAGATGTGGGAGAGCATGAGCTTCATGTCCAGCAGCCTGGCCTTGGCCTGTTCGCTCACCTCTGTCGCCCTCAGTTTCCGCATCTGTAAAGTGGGGGTGCAACCTCTGAGGGTGCGGAAGGAACCTCCCCCTTTCTGAGCGGACCCCCCCCCCCCCCCCCCCGCAGTGCACCTACATCGCGGTGGAGCAGGTGGCGGAGACCCACGCCGTGATCCTGAGCCGCCCTGCTTGGCTCTGGGGGGCGGAGATGGGCGCCAACGAGCATGGCGTCTGCATCGGCAACGAGGCTGTGTGGACCAAGGAGCCGGTCGGGGAGGAGGAAGCCCTGCTGGGCATGGATCTGCTCAGGTGCAGCCCCTGCCCCCCCTCACCCCCTCTGCACCCAGTAGCCTGGGGACCGAGCACTGGCCCGGGCCTACCCCCCTCCTCTGAGCCCGGCCCGCCCAGGGCCTCCTCCTGTCTGCGCCCTGCCTGCCTCAGGTCACCCCAGGGGGCCGCCTGCCCCTCCTCCCGGGGCCTCAGCTCCACAGTCTGGGTGGGAGCGCCCCCAGGCGGCCACCTCTGGCCCAGAATCAGTAGAGGCGAAATGTGATTCCAATGAAATCTCAAGGAGAGTCCCGATTCATCAGACCAGTTAAAGCTGAGCAGCTCTGGTGGGAGAGGGGGTGGGTCAGGGCGCTGCTCTGAGACTGCTTTGGGCCTTCGCATGGCGCCCTAGAGTCAGCCTGACGACCACAGCCTGAAGCTCCCCGCAGTGCTGGCAGGTGTCCCATGGTGCTCAGGCCTGACACCCACCCGTCCTGGGTCTCTCTGTGCCCTGGAGCGCCCGCCACCCTCACCCCCGTGCCCTGGAGCGCCCGCCACCCTCCCCCCCCCCCCCGTGCCTGGAGCATCCGCTACCCTCACCCCTGTGCCCTAGAGCGCCCGCCACCCTCACCCCCGTGCCCGGCCTCTCTGTGTGCCAGGCTGGCTTTAGAACGCAGCCGCTCTGCCCAGGAGGCCGTGCTCGTGATCGCAGGCTTGCTGGAGCGCCACGGGCAGGGGGGCAGCTGCCGGGAGGACCCCACGCCCTTCTGCTACCACAACACCTTCCTGCTGGCTGACAGGACGGAGGCCTGGGTGCTGGAGACGGCGGGGCGGCTGTGGGCCGCTCAGAGGATCCGGGGTGAGGCCTGGTGCTGGGCCTGCCTTTTGGCAGCCGTGGGAGGGGGCGGGGAGGATGGTGGGTGCAGGGGAGAGCCAGTCCAGGTGCAAACCTCTGAGGGGGGAGCCATGGTGGGGAGAGCCATCCAGAGAGATGGAAAATGAGCCCCCCGGGGGAACGTATCCTCCCCCTTCCTGTGGGTGAGTCCTCTTGTGCTCCGGCCTGCTGCTTCCTCCGAGGAGCCTTCCTGGGCTCCCTGAGGGTCCGGCTTCACCCTTTTTTGCAAGCAGGCGCCTCCTCATCGCCCTCACCACCGATGGCAGATTCCCGTTTATCTCTGTGGCTGTTCTGTCTCCCCGTCACACCGTGTCCTCAGCGCCTGGCCCAGACCAGGCCTCCATAACGAACACCCCCTCCCCTCCCCCCCACAGAGGGGGCCCGCAACCTCTCCAACCAGCTGAGCATCGGCACGGACATCGCGGCCGAGCACCCGGCGCTGCGGGCCCACGCCCAGGCCCGCGGCTGGTGGGGCGGCCGGGGCGCCTTCCACTTCGCCCGGGCCTTCTCGCTGGGCCAGCAGCCGGCGCGCATGGAGGCCGCCAAGGCCCGCTTCCGGGCGGGGCGGGAGCTGCTGCAGCGGCGCCAAGGTCAGGGGGGGCCGGAGGTGAAGGGGTGAGGGCCAGGGGGGCCACGGCGCTGCCAGCCCCTCCCCCCACAGCTTTGGGGACCCCTTCTGCCCGGGGGACCCCTCATCCCCCCCCCCCCCCGTCCTTCCCGGCAGGGGCCATCACGGCCGAGGCGATGATGGACATCCTCAGGGACAAGGAGAGCGGCATCTGCATGGACGCGGGCGGCTTCCGCACCACGGCCAGCATGGTGTCCGTGCTGCCCCGCGACCCCGCGCGGCCCTGCGTCCACTTCCTCACCGCCACGCCCGACCCGGCCAGGCGAGTGCGGGGCTGGGCGCTGGGCCGGCCGCGGGGCCGGGCGGGGCTGCCGGGCCGGGCCCCCGGGGGCTGTGACAGCCCTGTCCCTCCGCCTGTGCCCCGCAGGTCCGTGTTCAAGCCGTTCATCTTCGGGGCGGGGGCGGCCCAGGCCCCCCAGGTGCTGTCCCCCGCCTTCGGGGCGCAGGACCCCGTGCGGGCCGTGCCCCGCTTCCGGGCCCGGGTGGACCGGCGGCACGCGCTCTACCGGGGACACCAGGCGGCCCTGGGGCTGATGGAGAGCGAGCAGGTAACCCCCGGGGAGCAGGGCCTCCCGGGACCCCTCGGCGCCCCCACGCCCAGCTGGGTTCGGGGAGGAGGGGGGGGCTTGGGGGCGGGGAGAGGGGTCTCTCCCTCCGGAGCCAGCTGCCCAGGGGCAGGTGGTGCCCTTTGTCCCTCCTGCTGCTGCTGAGACCAGAGCCGGGCCCTTTGGGAGGGGAGCTGCGGGGTCTCATCTCTGCCCCCCCTTCCCCCCCCAGGAGCAGGAGCAGGGGCGGCGGCTGCGGCAGAAGCAGCGGGACCTGGAGCAGGAAGGCCTGGAGGCTGTGAGGGGGCTGCTGGCCGGGGCGGGGGCCCCTCCCTCCCAGGAGCTGGGCGGCCTCTTCCAGGCCTTTGTGGAGAGGGAGAGCCAGGCATACGTGTGAGCCCCGAGGCTCCTCCTGGCCCTGCGGCTGTTCCCGGCCCCGCGGCTCCTCCCGGCCCCGCGGCTGCTCCTGGCCCCGAGGCTGCTCCTGGCCCCGTGGCTGCTCCTGGCCCCGAGGCTGCTCCTGGCCCCGTGGCTGCTCCTGGCCCCGAGGCTGCTCCTGGCCCCGTGGCTGCTCCTGGCCCCGAGGCTGCTCCTGGCCCCGTGGCTGCTCCTGGCCCCGAGGCTGCTCCTGGCCCCGTGGCTGCTTCTGGCCCCGAGGCTGCTCCTGGCCCTGCAGCTGCTCCTGGCCCTGCAGCTCCTCCTGGCCCCGCAGCTCCTCCTGGCCCCGCGGCTGCTCCTGGCCGGCCTAGGACTTGGGCCTGGGGCTCAGGCCTGGACCCAGGAGGGGGTGTGTGGGATCAGAGCAGGTCCTTCTCGCCCCTCATTCTGAGTGGCTGGCTCAGCCTCGTCTTAATAAATACGTTTTATTTCTCCTGTGAGTGGCTGATGGCTTCCCTCCAGCCGCCCCCAGTGACGTGGACACGTTCCGGGCCTGGAGACACTTTATTGGGACCAGTCCCGCCACGGGGGGCTCCGGGAGGGGGTCTGCTCCTGTCCCTGCCCAGCCCCCCTTCCCTTCCCACGGCTTCGCTGACAGCAGGGGGGGGGGGCGCCTCTTCACTTCCTGACTCTCCTGGTCACAGTTTTGGTTGTGCCGGGGGCCGCGGCCAGGGAGGCCTTGGGGGCTGCAGCCGCTCTGACCCCCTTCCTGGCCTGCGCAGTGCTTTGGGGGCCCCTGGAGGCCAGGGGGCCCGGCTTCTTGGTGGCGGAGGCGGCTTGTGGCGAGGAGGCCGGCTCTGGGGGTGGCTCCTTCCCCTGCGGGGCAGCGGCAGCGGCGGGGTCCCCGGCCACGGGCCCGCCGGGCAGCGCGGGCAGCCCGGTGAGGACCGGCTGGGTCTCCAGCCTCAGCAGGTGCTCCGTCCGGGCCGCCTGCTGCCTGCGCGCCCTGTGCCTGCTCATGTCCTGCTCCAGCTCCTCCAGGAAGCCTGTGAGGGCCAGGACGGAAGCCTGTGAGGGCCAGGACGGGGTGTTGGGGTGTCGGGGTGTCAGGTGGAGCCCGGGCTCAGCAGGAAGGCCCCCAGGCTAAGGGAGCTGGTCTCTGGCTGATCTGAGCAAACTGCCCTTGCCAACAGGGAGGAGCCTGAGGCTGGGGAGGGGGCGGAGGGTGGGGGGAGTCACCTGGGTGCCCAGGCTGACATCTGGCCCTGGCTGTACTGTCCTCTGGCCCAGAGGCTGAGCTGGGCTTGGGGCCCCTTCCCCAGAGCCCCCGGGGCGGGGGTGAGCTCTGGGGAGGCTGCGGGCCTCGGGAAGCAGGGTCACCTCGCTCTGCGCAGAACGGGCCACTCAGCTCGGGGAACTCCTCGTCCGAGGCTTTGTCCTCCTCGTCCGAGTTCCAGCGCTCCGACACCGGCTGCCGGTCCAGGTCCATGAGCAGGGGCAGGGCTCCCGTCACCCGCTTCCTGCCGGGCAGGAGGCAGAGGCCGCGCTGGAGGGCACCCCGGCGTGTGGAGCCTGGGACCCGGCACCCAGAGCAGCAGGGCCCACATGGGGCAGGATGGTGGCTCGGGAGCAGGGAGTCCCCAGAGTGCTAAGGGCTGGTTTTCTGCAGCGTTACGGGGATGAAGGGGAAAAGGGGACCGACTTGAGCTGGGGTGGGGGAGGAGAAGGGACCATGGACCAGACTCCAGATTTGCAGGCAGAGAGGGGGCCCCCATGGAGGTAGCAGAGGAGTTCCCCCATCACCCCTTTCTCCCCATCTTCCACTCCTCCTCACCTGTAGCCATCCTGGCTGGTGCAGCTGTTCCCAGTCAGGTTGAGGATGAGGAGGCTCTGGGGGAATTCATCTGCTCGAACCAGAGTGGGGGGGATGAGGTTCTCATGCCCACCTTCCAGCCCAAAGCCACCGCCTCTCTGCTCAGCCCGACCCCCTGGAGGGTGTGCAGGCACAGGGCGATGGGGGCAGGGCGGAGGGAGGGCCTCCTGAGCCAGGGCCAGGGCACCCTACCCAGCTGCAGTGTTGCTATCAAGTTCTCCGAAAGGTCCAGAAACTGGAGGTATGGGAGGTCACGGAGGTTCTCCACCTGTTGGATTCGGTTTCCCGCCAGAGACAGGAAGCTGTAGGGGAAGGGAGGGGCTCAGAGAAAGAGCTGAATGTCAGAACAGCCGCCGGGGAGGAAGAGGGCAGCCGGGCGGCAAGTGGGGGCACGTGGCCTTTCGGGGTGAGGGAAACAGGGCTAGGCTCGCTGGGTCCTCAGCCGACAAGAAGCCAGGCCTGGAGAGATCTGAACCAGTTCTCTGGGGATGTTACCAGGGTTCCTCCCTTCAACCTCGCCTTTCTTTGTTCTCCACCCCCACCCTCTCCTGAGCCCTGGCACCCCGTACCGTAAGGAGGGGACACAGGCCAGGTTCTCAATTCGCTGGATCTTATTCTGCGGGGAGAAACCAAGGCGGGAAACCAACCTGAGGTCATCTGGGTGAGGGGCCCTTTAAAGAGACAAAACCCCACAACCACGTCGACGCTTGCAGCTGGGAACCAGGACCCAGTCACCAAGCTGTCTGTCACAGCCGTGGGGTGACTTGCTTTCCCCAGGTGGCTGGGGAAGGGTGTAAATTCGGGGCAGACTAAAATTGATGAATGTACACCCTGCTCACCCCACAGCCGAAGAGTGACCTGGCAATCAGAGAAGGCAACCAAGGCGACGCAGGGAAATGGGAAGGGTCTCGGTGGGGGCGTGCACACACGACAAGAGCAATGGACACACGTTACTTTGATTTGTGTGGTTTCTTCGGGGAAAGGCTCAGGGAGCTGGATATATTCATTGTGGCTGAGGCTGAAGGTCACCCCCCACCCCTCACCATCACAGCCTTCAAGTTTCTGAAGGACCCAGAGGGATTTCCATGGCTCCTTCCTCTTCTTCAAAACAGAAAAAGAGCTTGAGCTATATAACTTTAGAGATTTAGGGGAGACACCAAGAACCAGGCTAGGAGAAGTGTCTGACAACAACAACAACAACAACACCACCAAACGGATTCGAGAACATGCTCTTTTGGGAGGACTGGTTTTTCCATTCCGGAGACTCTGGCTCATCTGGGAATGGTTTCCATGAAGGCCTGCCTGCTGGACACCAGGGAATGGGCTCGATGACCTGGTTGGCTCCTCGCAGATTAGACAGGCTTGGTCCACAGGAAGCAAGAGGAGGGGAAGGGGGGAAGAGAAAAGTTACCGCTTGCAGGTAGAGGCTGTGAAGGTTCTGGAGGCCCTCTAGGTTCTTGATAGTGGTAATCCCCTCCCGGTCCAGGCGGACGGTCTGTAGCTCAGCGATAGTGTGAAACCTGGGAGAGCAGGCAGTGGGGCAGTGTAACAGAGTGCACTTCTGTGGTCTCTTAGCAGGGAAGCTGGGCGCGCGCGTGCGTGAGTGTGTGTGTGTGTGTGTGTGTGAAGGTTTTTACGGAGTGGATGGCTAAGTGACATCTGAGGAGGAATCAGCCAGGAAGGTGAGGGGTGAGGAGAAAGCATTTCAAACAGAAGGAATAGTCTGTGCTTATTCAGCCTTTCTCAGACTTGAATGCCTGTAAATCTCCGAGGATCTTGTTAAAAATGCAGATTCTCACTCAGTAGGTCTGGGGTGGGGCTGAGATTTTTCATTTCTAACAAGCTCCCCGGTGATGTTAATGCGGCTGCCCCCTCCCCTCTCCCCAGCACCCAAACCACTCCAAGTAGTGAGGCGCTGAGGTGTGAGAACATGGCGTCTTAGAGGAATTGCACACTTGTGGGGAGGGGCAAGAAATAAGGCTGGATGGGCAGCAGAGATCCACTCATGCTAAGGTGTTTGGATTTTATTTTGGAAGATTCTATCATGATCAGAAAAGGATCACTTTGGGAACAGCAGGGGGAGCCTGGACTGGGGTCATGGGAGGCTAATTAGGAGTTTGCGAGGTGATGACAGCTTTATCTAAGGCAGTGGAGTAGACACGGTAGAAAATAAATAGAATGATTTTGAAGGAGAGGAAATCAATTGGGCATTGCCACTGATTGAACATGTGGAGTAAGAGAGAGACAGAGATGAGCTGACAAGTCAGTACAGCTGAAGGGACTGGTCATTCCTGGGGACTTCAATATTCCAGCACTCACATCCTCTCCGACAGAGCCTCATCCTCACGGAAGGTCAAGTTCCGCTTAGTGATGAGGGCTTCGGTAATGCACACTTCCCCTTTCTCTGGACTCTGGGCGAGCTGAGCTGTGAAAAGACAGGTTCCATCGTTACAACCCCTTATTCTCGGAGGCCTGACACTCCCGTTCCCCAACAGTTCTACCTGCCATCCCGTCTCCCTACTCACCTCCAGGCATGATCTACAGGCTGCTGGCCTGGGGCGGGATTGGAACCAAGAGCAGAGTTTGGATAGGCCGTGGGGATGGTGGGATCCAGGATGGTATGAAGAGAGAGAAGCTCAGAGACTTAGGGGACAAGGGAAAGGGGTTGATTCACTTCTACCCAAATTACTGAAGTGGGGTGGAAGACAAACGGAAACCGAAGTGGAGGGCCTGGAGTCCGCGGGCGGCGGAGGGGTTTTGCTGGCCGGAAACTGCGCGGAGAGCGCATTCCCCTGCAGAAGAGCGGGTCAGCCGGTTAGCGCTGTTGCTAAGAGACCGACGCCAGGGGTGGAGGCGAGGGAGGGCTCGCCGCGCATGCGCAGTACTGCTCCAGGAGGCGGGGCCCTCCCACCGCTTCCGGCCCCAGGCATCCCACAATCCTCAGCTCTTTCCGCCTCACTCGGCTCCCGTCCGTCCTCCCGAAGGCAATGGCCGCGGCCGTGGCTGGGATTCTGCGAGGCGGCCTCCTGCCCCCGGCGGGTAAGGAGCGGCCCAGATCCTCACGGCGCGTTTCGGCCGGTGCTCTCCAGCCCTCGTCTCCCCTCCTCTGCTGCCGGTTCCTTCCCGTAACCTCTGACCTCTGACCTCTGACTCCAGGCGGCCCCCGGTGACCCCCAGCTAGATCGCCCGCCGCCTCCTTCCCCAGTCCAGTTCCCCGTGACTCCAGATTCCAGTAACAACCGCAAACGGCGACAGCGTCAGCCATGCCACAGTGTTTATTGTCTACGCCCCCAGCATTCTTTGGGTTTCGGTAACCCATCACCTAGGTTTTGCTCGCCTCCAGTTTCCTTTGGACCACTCCGGGCCCCCCAACCTTGGCATTATGGCTCCTTACGATCTCAGCCTAAATGTCACTTCCTTAAGCCTGCCCTTACCACCCTCTGCAAAGCAGGTTTCCCCTGTTACATTTGTACCTTGCGCCCTCTCGCTAGCCCTGTAGCTTTGCATTTATTTATTTGTCCATTAGAATTTATAAACTCCCGAAGGGCAGAACCAGCATAAGCAACAGGTGTCATAATGCTAACAGTATTAGGCATGCCGTAGGTATTTAATGAATGACGTTGAGCGCACTAGATAGGCCTGGTGCAGTGACAGATGCTATCCATGTGTCCTTTAAATCTTAAAGCACCCGATGAAAAAGCATTCTCATCCCCTCTTTACCGACCACGGAACCAGTCAAGTTCCAGAGCCTTTGCTTTTTTAATTGTTAGATTTGTGGTCCCTGGCAATACAAACTCACCCCAAGAACTCTCTGACTGGTAGAACTACCTTCTAGTTGAACCTTTCCCTGAGATCTCATCCCAGGCTTGGGAAGGGCTGAACATGGGAAGCCGTAGACTGAATTCTTTTATTGAGGATGAAGGGGTCACTCGGGCTCAGTATGTTGAGTAGTTCCCTTGTCTTCTGAGGGGTGCTCTCTGGCGATGCCTGCCAACTTGATGAGCAGAGGGACTGGAGACTCGTTTTGGAGAGCTCTGAGGGCAGTGTAACTCCCCCCCCCCCCCCCCCCCCCCCCCCCCCCCGTCTCTTCAGATCATGGGAGAAGGCTTCAGAGCCGTGGATTTCACCCTTCAGCGTGCATTGCCTGGAGGGCTTACTCAAACATGCTGGGCTCCACTCCAGGGTCTAAAATGGGGCCCGAGAATTGGCATTTCTAAGAAGTGCCGCTGATGTCGGTTGGTGTTCAAAATACTTTCTCTCTGGTTTTCATCCTCCTCCTCCCCCTAATCGTGCACAAAAAAGTAATAATAATAACCAAGTACTGGAGAAATGGGAGCCTCAAAGGATCAAGCAACTGAGCTAAGGTCGGCCATTAGGAGAGAAGGTCTGGGGATTCGGGATTTCTAGCAGGAAATTCTTTATCCCACTTTTGGGCTCGGTTCGGCTCTGTGAGCCATGGTTGTCTGTGCCCGGAGAGTGGCCCTTTTCTCCACCCGGGGCAGACTAAGGCCTCCAGGATGCTGCATCTCACTGCCCTGCCCTATTTCCCCTGCCAGGCCGGCTGCCCACCCTCCAGACTGTCCGCCATGGTTCCAAGGCTGTTACCCGTCACCGTCGAGTGATGCACTTTGAGCGGCAGAAACTGATGGCTGTGACTGAGTATATCCCCCCGAAACCTGCAATCAGTCCTCAATGCCTGGCTCCTCGCTCCAAGCCAGTCCAGGAGGTAAGAAGACTGGGCATGTTACTTGGTGGTGGTATGGTGGTGTGGTGGTGGTCTGGTGGTGGTATGGTGGTGTGGTGGTGGTCTGGTGGTCTGGTGGTGGTATGGTGGTCTGGTGGTCTGGTGGTGGTATGGTGGTCTGGTGGTCTGGTGGTGGTCTGGTGGTGGTCTGGTGGTATGATGGTATGGATATGGTCTTGTATCCAGGACCATAGTGAAGTGGGATTCCAAGACACAGTCATCCACATCATTGCTTCCTCGCTTTGACCCATGGTCCATATACCTTAGGTTAAATCTACACTTGATTTGGCTTTGGCCTTTTGACCTCTGTGGATTGGACGGGTCTCCTGCATTTCCCTCATTCCTAACTTGTCTCCAAAAACATGTGGGTGGAAGCTATCCAAGTGTGTGGTGGTGGCGGCGGGGTAATTGGGGAGAGGATCTCTGTCCTGTCTTGAAGGACTTGAAGCTTCCACATTATTGTAGAAGAATGATAGAGGTTTTATATTTTTAAAAAGAACAGAAAGACCAGTGTGAATTTGGCTATCGAGCACTTGAAATGAGGTCAGGGTGACTGAGGATCTGAATTTTTAATTGTATTTAATTTCAATTAATTTAAATAGAAATAGCCACGTTTGACTATACAGGGCAGATCTAGAATCTGGATTTAGCACAGTAGTGAATCTTCCATTATTTTGCCATACATGCATTAATATTTTCATGGAATTCTGCAAACAGCATCATGTCAAATAATGTTGACTGGGTCAGACTCCGACCAGGTCGGGGGGACTCGGTGTCCTCAGGTTGGAAAACACGGCTCTTCTGACTGCTTATCTCTGAAAACGAAAGGATAGAATGGAAGCTGGGACATGTCCCTGGGAGTCAAGGGCCCAACTATCCTGCTTGTACCTGATCTTCCCCCACATTTGGGCTCATCCCTGGGGGAGTTGAGGGGGACGGAGAAGAAGCTGCTTAGATCTCCTGGGTTATTCCTTCATGATCTTAGGAGACAGGCCTCATCCGGCTCATCCGGCGGGAGATAGCAGCAGTTTTCCAAAACAACCGAATGATAGCCATCTGCCAGAACATCCCCCTGAGCTCGGAGGACAAGCTGCTCATGCGACACCGGCTGCGGAAACACAATATCTTGGTTAAGGCCTTCCCTAACCAGGTAGGGAGCCGCCTACCCATGGACCCTGCCTGTGTTCCCTTCCCCTTCCCCTGCCCCCACAGACCCAGCATCTCTCCCCGAGGGCACCTCCGACTCCTCCCCTCCACTAGCACCCTCTCGTCTGGTGCCTAAACTGCCATTAGGAGCTGAGGAGACCCTCTGGTTTCAGCCTTAACCGATGTGGCCTGTGCCCAAGGTGGGCAGCTCTTCCTCCCCCTCGCCCCCAATGAACCCTTCTTTCCTGCTGTCCCAGTTCCTGAAGCCCTTCCTGGAGGGTTCCAAGTACCGGAACCTGCTGCCCCTCTTCGTGGGGCACAACCTGCTGCTGGTCAGCGAGGAGCCCAAAGTCAAGGAGATGGTGCGGGTCCTGAAGAGCGTGCCCCTCCTGCCGCTGTTGGGTGAGCAGCTCCCCTGCCCGGGGTGTGTGTGTGTGTGTGTGTGTGTGTGTGGAGCGGTGCTACAGCCGCCCAGTGCCCTCTGCTAGGCACCTCTTTGAGGAGGAATCCTCTCACAGATGGGGCCTCCGTCAGCAGCGCCATTTGCCGAGGGCTGCTGTGTCTCCTGACACCTGTGCTGGCTCGCTCTGCATCCCTTATGCACGGGGGAAGAATAGGGAAGGCAGAGAGGACTCTGCTGGGGGAGGAAGTTCAGACACTGAGTCTTTACTAGGTACTAAAACCCTCAGACAAAGAAAATGTAAACAAATAGCCAAGTACAGGTGCTGAGGAACCGGGAGCAATGTGTCCCAGACTCCCTGATACTACGAATCCCTAGAGGCACAGTTTCTCTATAGAATACTGATTTCATAGTCTCTGTGGGAAGGGGCAGGAATATGTTTATTAACCCCCCACACACACACATATACACACACAAATATACTCTATGGTTCTTCAAGAAAGTTAGAAGGAAAAAAAGTTTAGGGACAGTGACTTAGAAGGGGTTGGACCAGGAGGATGACTTATTTAAGGGTTTTCTAGAGAAGAGTTAAGAAGGGGTGAGGGGATCCGTCCCAGACACAGTGTGAGTGGCGGGGAGGGGCACACGTGGGAGCCGGATGGGAGGTGGAGGAGGGTAATGGAGAGCAGTTCCTGGGCTGGAATGTTGTCTCGGAGAGGAAAGGCGTTTGTGGGGAGCCCACCTGACCCTGTGCCTTTCCAGGCGGCTGCATCGACGACACCATCCTCAGCCGGCAAGGCTTCATCAACTACTCCAAGCTGCCCAGCCTGGACCTGGTGCAGGGGGAGCTGGTGGGAGGGCTCACCCTCCTCACGGCCCAGACCCACTCGCTGCTGCAGCGGCAGCCCCTCCACCTGACTGCCCTGCTGGACCAGTACGTCAGACAGCAACGCCAGGGGGACTCCTCCCAGCCGGCCCCTGGGCAGCCCGATCCTCCCGACTCTGCTCCGCGCTCACAGCCGGCCTGCCCGTAAACACCCGCCCGCTGGCCCTGCCGACCTTGCGGGGGAGCGGATGAACTTGGGTGGGAGGGGCACGTGTTCCCTGGCTTCTACTGACGACGACGACCTCAGAGGAAGAAGGATTTCATTTCAGAATGGCGGCTTCTAATCTCCGTCTTTGCCCTTCGTTTTTCCAACCTGGGACCTGACAAGAGCAAAGTGTCAGCTCCACGCTCAAGGCAGAGAGGCTGAGCAGATGAGGATATTGCCCTTCGCCTCGTGCTCACTGTCCTTGGACGTGCCTCCCCAGCCCGCCCCTGGTTGTCAGAGCAGCTCAGCTGAGTGATTGTTCTAAGAATGGGTTCTGTGGGGAGCCAGCTGTGCCAGGCTGCATGCTGACCATTCCTGGGTGTTAGTTCTTTTATTCCCGGGCAGAGAGGCTACAGCGCCTGCCCGGGGTCATGCAGCGGTAAGAGGCAGAAGGACTGGAGCCAGGCCCTCTGCTCTGAGACGTGCTCTGGATTTCTAGAGCCTCCGTGAGGCCCAGGTGGGCATGGATGTGAGTTCTCCATTCTCGGGTGTGCCGTGTGATAGAAAGGCTGGGAACACTGCTTTATGACAAAAATAAATGCATTTTAGTCTGTTTTGCTGTTTACAAGCTTATCTTCCCTCTCCGCTTATCCTCAGGGTTCTCTCTGACCCTCACTTTCCCTCCTAGAAAGTCCTTCCTCTTCCACGTCCAAGCCGGTTACTTCCCTGTCCTCACACCCACAGATGGCGCCCCCACGGGCTAGTGGTTTGGAGGCAGCCCCCAGCTCTGCCCAGCAGCTCACATGTCTCGGGCGGTTCTGAGCAAAGGAGCTGGGGGAGACCAGCATTCTGCGAAAATGAGGGGCTTTGGGGCTCTTAAGTAGGAGGGGTCATCCAAGTCTTGGGGAACAAAAGTGCCCAGTGAAGGAGAGAGGATATTGAACTGGAAGCTGACTCTTGTCCTTGGCGCATGCGCTGGGTGGACACAAGGGTGACGTGGGGAGAGTGGCTGCTGAGCATTCCTCCTGGACATGGGACAGTGGCCCAGCTTCCCAGGCCTGGACAGGCACACTCTGGCAGCCCGGCTCTGCAGCAGCTCCTCTGGCCTGGTCCAGGACCAGCTGCCAGAGCCCAGCTCTCTGGACACCAGGATGCTCTGTCAATGTGAAGTGCATCGAAAGGCCTTTGAGGCTCATGGGTGCCAGAGCTGATCTGCACAGTGCTGTCCCCCACCTCCCCCCAACCCCCCACCGCCTCCCAGAACCACAGATGCAACAGCGCCCTCCGGGGGCGGTGAGCTGTGCTGAGGCTCTGAATGGCGTGGAGAGCAGGCATCTCCTGAGAGGTGTAACACCAGGAGGGGTCAGCCAAGGCCATGTGGGCACAAGATGGATGGGGGAAATGTCCTAAAGCATTTCTGGATCAAAGCAGAACCCCACATTGCACCCTTTACCGGCCGACGGAGCCCGAGGCCCCACCATTAAAAACCCACTTTCTAGAAAGGCTTCACTGCACTTGGGCTGTCAGTCAGTTTCATGTTCATTCCAGTGGAGCTTAGACCTTTCTCAAGAGCCGTTTTTTAATTAGAATTGAGCAGCCAGCAGGGCAGAGGTGCTCAGAAAGGGAGGGTACTCAAGTTGGCTCCAGCTAGCCAGCTGGTTCCCCCCCTGACCCGCTCCTGGTGCAGACCCAGCAGGCTGCGGGCTCTGTCTGCCGCATAGGTGCTTTGAGTCCCCCACCCCCTGGGGCCAGTGGCAGCCTCTGGGGGGCCATCCGCTGGCTCTTTGGAGCCTTGACCACCCTGCTGCCTGTGCTCTCGGCACGGTCTAGAAAGGGCATCTGTCCATTCCCACCCACCTGATACCTTCGCTGGCTCCAAACTTTGCAATCTATTTTCAGATGCAAAAGGAGAGACAGGCGGGAGTTAATTACAAAAAAAAATGGATGTGGGTACTAACGGGTCAAGGCCAACGTGAGTCTGAGTAAACCCTTTCCCCCCCCTGGCTCAGGCCTGCAGCTCCCCAGTCCCCTGTAACCCCTGGGCGCTGCGCCCGGCGGGGTCCCTGCCCCTGCCCCCGGCCGCCTCAGCTCTGGGGAGTCACTGGGCCCTGAGTCCTCCCGGGAGCAGGGGGGCAGAGCTGAGCAGCTGCCCAGAGCTTGGCGGGAGGAAGAGCGGGGGAGGGGAAGGTGGGGAGGGAGATCCGGCTGGAGGGGAGGCTCCTCTGCCTCCTTCCTTCCTGGTTCCTGCAGCAGCGGCGCCGCTGAGCTCCATGAGGAGGGAGCGGGCGACCTGGGCGCGCTGACTCAGAGGCAGCGCGGCGGGCGGGCCGAGGAGCAGGGCGTCCATGGACTTTGCGGTAAGGGGCCGCGCGGTGTCCGCTGACATCCTCCCGCCTGAAGCTGGCGGGGCTGCTCCCCTGGAGAAGGGGACTGGGATGGAGGTGGAGGCAGAGCGCTCACCTGCCTCCCGGAGACCCCGCACCCTCGAAGGACAGAGCCTCTCCCTTTGGCGGCAAGCGGTGCGGGGCCAGGATCCCACGGGGCCAGGGAAAGGGCACAGGGACACCCGACACCAGGAGAGTTTGGGAACTTTCAATGGCCGAATGCGGGAATGTCTCCCCTAGGTCAGCCCCTGGCAGCAGCGGCCCCTCCGCCCCCACCTCCCGGCCACCCCGGCCCCGGCCCGCGGCCACCCTGGCCCTACTTGTCCCTGTTCCCTCTGGCCTCAGCTCCTCAGGTGCCCACAGGCTTCACCGAAGACCTGAGCTGTCTCCCCAGCCTGGGGCCAGCCTTGCCCCTCCGTCCCCTCCCCCGTCGCGCCCACAGAGCCTCATGCATTATTGATCTCCCGGCGGAGCCAGGACGGCCTGAGCCGGTGCCAAGGGCGCCTGTGGGCACTGCTGCAGGGACCTGTGCAGACCTCGGCCTGTTCCTGGCCAGCTCCTCTCCGCCCGCCACTTCCTCCTCATCTCCATCCGCTCAGTCCCCTGCTCTGGGTGGGTGGTGCTTCTCAGGAACCCCAGCTCTGGGATGATAAGAGGGGAGATGGAGAGGCTTTGGAGACACAGCCTCTGAGGTGGGCATCCTAGGGGGGTGTCTGATGGGAGGAGGCACAGGGAACAAGGGGGCTGTCCCAGGCCTCAGTTTCCCCAATGCAGAAAATGGGAGCCCAAGAACCCGAGGACCTGGGGACCAGTTAGCGGGGAGTTGGGGTGAAGGGGTCCTGGTAGAGGGGTCTCCAGGCCATGGTGGAGGTGGTGCGGGGCTGAGATCTTGCTTGTCTCGCCTCTGCACTCCTCTGGCCTTTTCTGGAGCCTCTTTCTTCACTCCTCTGCCTCCCTCTGATCCTCCCAAGGAATCCTCCAGAGAAAGCGCCGGTGTTTCCTGGAACCCAAGATTGTGTGCTCAGGGTGGGGCTGGGTGGCCTTTTCCTGGTTTCCTCGGGCACCGGCCTGCCTCTCTGAGCTGTCTCAGCGGCCGCAGGAAGTGGAGGCAGGGAGACCCTCCGAGGTGAGGGAGGGTCAGACTCAGGGGAGCAGAAGGTGCGTTGGTGAAGTGTGGTCCTCGAGGCTGCAGGGCAGGTGGGGGTGGAGGAGGCGCCAGCAGGCACGGTGCTAACGGGGTCTCCCTCTCTCTTGCTTCCAGGGCCCCCTCAGGACAAGGTGACATTCTCCCCTCCCACCCGCCCCGGTCCTCAGCAGGGAGTGGCTGCTCCCTTCTCCATGGACTTCCAAGAGCGGGGCCCCCCCTCGCTGTCCGGGAGCACTCAGTCTGCAAAGTCCGGCAGTGCCCAGCAGGTCTGAGGGCGGGGAGCAGGCGGGGTGGGCAGTATTTGGCCCCAAGGGCCCTCCCCAGCACCCCCCCCCCCCCACTCTGTCTGGACTGCAGGCCTCCGAGCTGTGGGAGGTGGTGGAGGAGCCTCGGGGCCGGCGAGGGGCAGAGGGCGCCATGCCCGAGAGGCAGGAGGGCCACCTGCTCAAGAAGAGGAAGTGGCCTCTGAAGGGCTGGCACAAGGTAGGTTCCCGGCAAAGGGCAGGGCCGGATTCAGGGCGGCAGGGGGGTGCTGGGGGCTGCTGGGTAGCCGGGTTTGTGTGTGTGTGAGTGTGTGTGTGTGTGTGTGTGTGTGTGAGTGTGTGTGTGAGTGTGTATGTGTGAGTGTGTGTGTGTGAGTGTGTATGTGTGTGAGTGTGTGTGTGTGTGAGTGTGTGTGTGTGTGTGTGTGAGTGTGTGTGTGTGAGTGTGTATGTGTGAGTGTGTGTGTGTATGTGTGAGTGTGTATGTGTGTGAGTGTGTGTGTGTGAGTGTGTGAGTGTGTGTGTATGTATGTGTGTGAGTTTGTGTGAGTGTGTATGAGTGTGAGTGTGTGAGTGTGTGTGTGTGAGTGTGTGTGTGAGTGTGTGTGTGAGTGTGAGTGTGTGTGTGTGTGTGTGAGTGTGAGTGTGTGTGTGTGTGTGTGAGTGTGTGTGAATGTGTGTGTGTGTGAGTGTGTGTGAGTGAGAGTGTGTGTGTGAGTGTGTGTGAGTGTGAGTGTGTGAGTGTGTGTGTGAGTGTGTGTGTGTGTGTGTGTGAGTGAGAGTGTGTGTGTGTGTGTGTGTGTGTGTGATGAAGGGGAAGAAGGGTCCATGTGTGTAACTGCTCTCTCCCCACACCCTTTCCTCTCCGTCATCTGGGTCCTGTTCCTTCTGTTCTATCCTGGTCACAGAGGTACTTCGTGCTGGAGGACGGGATCCTTCGCTATGCGACCACTCGGCAAGATGTGAGTCAGGGCCGGGCTGGGGGTGATGGGAGGAACCGGGTCCCAAAATGCCCTGGGCAGGCAGGGGGCTTCCAGAATCCCCCAGAGCAGGGTCTGAATCCCAGGCACACTATTCCTGGGGGTGGGGTCTTGAGCAGGTGTCTTCCCTGGGCCTCAGTTCCCTCGCCTCTGAGAGGGGAGAGTGCGATCACCCTGTGCCAGGTCACTGTCCTCTTGGTGCGGGCCCCAGGACAGTGCCCGGCACAAGAGTGCCCGAGAAAGGGGAGCTTGACCCTCCTCCTCCTCCTCGTTCTGTCCTCGAGCTGGGAGTAAGGAGCTGAGGGCCAAGCAGCCCGGCTCTCTATTCCTCAGCCTTGCAGGACAGTTCAGAAGGAAGACAGAGGTCCCTGCTGGCGCTGTGACTTGGTTATGAGGGTGAACCTGCTGCGTGGTCTCAAGTGACCTCAGGGACCTGATGGCTCTGGCCCCAGGGGTCTAAAAACATCCCCTTTTCCCCACTCTCCCCCCACCCCAGATCACCAAGGGGAAGCTGCATGGCTCCATCGATGTCCGACTGTCTGTCATGTCCATCAACAAAAAGGCCCAGCGCATTGACCTTGACACCGAAGACAACATCTACCACCTCAAGGTGACATCCTGGCAGCCAGTCGGTGGCTTGGTCCCCAGCCTGGCAGAGGCACGGGGGCACCCAGGAGAGGGGGACAGGGGCTGAGGGTCCGTCCCTGAGTTCCATCAGGAGGGAGCTCCCGTCGTGTCCAGTGGCCAATGGCAAACCGCCCCTGCGGGTTGTTATATGAACAGACAGACCTCGGAGCTCGGACGTCGGGGAAGCTGGGCTCCGTCCCCTGCGGGGGCCTTCGCAGAAGCTGGACAGAAAGCCAGAGCCCCAGCTTCCTGCCTTGGAAAGCATGTGTCCGTCCCCTCTCTCCCCGCCCCCACGTCTGCAGATCAAATCTCAGGACCTGTTCCAGAGCTGGGTGGCCCAGCTGCGTGCCCACCGCCTGGCCCCGCGCCTGGACATGCCCCGCGGCCCGCTGCCCAGCAACTCTCACCGGAAGGTAAGATGGGCCCTGGGGCAGGAGCCGTGGGGTGTGAGTGTGGTGAGACCCAGGGAGGTGGGCACGTCCTTCCTGACCCTTGACTCCCCCCACAGGGTCCCGGGGCCCAGCTCCCCACAGTGATCAGTGCCTCTGCTCTGCCCGGGGTGGGGCCTCGGGAGAAAGTGTCTTCTTGGCTGAGGGGCAGTGACGGCCTCGACCGCTGCTCTCACGGTGAGGGGCCCTGGCACCACGGCTCGGCGGGCGGGGCCCACATGGCCAAGTTGGCGTGGCATCGGCAGTCACAAGGAGGAGGACATGTTAACATGGCATCTTCCTGCCCCGGGGGCCCCAGTCCGATGGGGGAGACAGCCCCCTGCCTCCACGCTGACGGGGTCTCCTCAGGCCCTGTCCGGGGAGTCCCAGGCCTGCAGGGGGCGGTGGGGCTCGTGGCACACGGGCAGGCGAGACGCAGGGCCAGGCCTCGGGAGACAGAAGACGCAGGCGCCAATGCAGGGAGGAGGGTGCAGGGAGTGGGACTGGAGAACCGGGTTCCTGGAGCGGGGCTGTGATACTGGCCCGGGAGAGGGGAGTGCAAACCGGGTGAGGCCCCAGAGAGCGTGAGGCAGCAGAGGGAGGGTGTGAGGGGGTGACAGTGGCCATCGGGTGCCGTGTTCCTGGGGAAACCCGGGTGGGGCCAGACCACGGGTGGGAACGGGAACTTCTGTGGGCTCGGGATCCGGGGGCGGCGGGAGGAAGACTCTCCGGATGTCCCTGGCTGCGGGGGCGGAGGAGGGAAAGCTGGGGGACAGACTTGGGGGTACCCGCCCAGTGTGGGGAGGGCTTGCTCACTCGTTCTTCCCGCAGAGCTCTCGGAGTGCCAGGGGAAGCTCCAGGAGCTGCACAGACTCCTGCAGAGCCTGGAGTCCCTGCACCGCATCCCCTCGGCCCCCGTGATCCCCACGCACCAGGTGAGGCCCCGGGGGGTGAGGGGGGTGCAGGCTCCTGCCGGGGGGCTCCCGCCGGCTTGCCGCTGCCATGCCATCACTTCCTGGGACAGGTCCCCGGTCCCTCACGCCACTGCTGTCTTCAGAGGCACGCGTCTGCCCAGTCACTCTCTTCCTGCGACCAGACTGTTGCTCTGTCCCTTTGGGGTGACCCTTCCTCCCGTCTGCCCGGGCGCCGGGCTCCTCTCCTGGGGTGTCGCTTGTCCCTGGGCCCTCTCCCGAGGCCACCCGCCCCTCTCCCCGCCCCGAGCGTGACACCTCCCTCCCTCCCTCCCTCCCTCCCTCCCTCCCTCCCTCCCTCCCTCCCTCCTGGCACTCGCTAGGCCTCGGTGACCACGGAGAGACCCAAGAAGGGCAAGCGGAGCAGCCGCATGTGGTGCACTCAGAGCTTCGCCAAGGACGACACCATCGGGCGGGTGAGGTGGGGGTAGACCCCGGGCCTGGCGGGAAGCTCTGAAGATCGCCGTCCCCTTCAATCCCTCTCCTCCTCCCCGACAGACGGGTCGTCTCCACGGCTCTGTTCCCAACCTGTCTCGGTACCTGGAGTCCCGGGACCACTCCGGACCCCGGGGGCTGCCCCCCCCAGACTATGCCCACCTGCAGCGCAGCTTCTGGGCCCTGGCCCAGAAGGGTGAGTGTGCGCTGGTGGGCGGCGGGAGCCGGGCGAGGAGGAGGAGGAGGGTCTGACGGCCTGCCCTGCCCTCGCAGTGCACAGCTCCCTCAGCAGCGTGCTGGCCGCCCTCACCGCCGAACGGGACCACCTGCGGGATCTGCACCAGGGCTCCGAGCTGGCCAGACTGGGGGTGAGGCTTGGGGACAGGGTAGCCGATGGGAGGAGGGGGCTGGAGACTGAGGTCTGCATGCCTGCGGGTGGTCCCAGATCAGAGGCCGTATCTGCCTGGCAGGGCTGGACAGGCTTATCCTCCTGGGGCCCTGTCTCGCCCCCCTCCCCGTCCCCCTCCCCCTGCAGGTCTCCGAGGCCTCCGCTGGCCCAAGGCGCCTCCACTCACTGTCCATCTCCTCGGACACCACGGCGGACTCCTTCAGCTCCCTCAACCCCGAGGAGGTAGGAACCGGTGGCCTCTGGGGACCATTTCTCCTGGGCCCCATGCTCCAGCGGGAAGGAGGCAGGGTGGGAGTTCAGACCTGCCACGGCCCAGAAATCCCAGCTCCCACCCTTTCACGTCCCACATGGCGGCAGCCACCTCCTGGTCATTACTGAACATTTAATTCAGAGGCCTGCGCGGCAGCGATTCCTTCCCTCAAGCCAGAGGGGAGGAGACTGAGGCTCACCGAGTCCCACTGAGGGCCCCGCTCTCCCCGTGGTGGGCCAGCCGAGCCGGGAGTTAGGGGTCCGAGCAGAGACTCCGGGGCCTCCGTGGGTTTGCACGTGGCTCCACCGCAGGCCAGCGCTGTGGCACGGACGGAGCCTGGGAGTCATCGTCTGCGAAGTGGGGGGAATGAGGACACGCAGCCTCACAGGGGGAGGGTCAGCACAGACGGACTTCACGCACCCAAAGGGCCTGGAGCCTCGCTCAGCGTGGTGCCCAGGAGCTACTGTGGGACCTGTGTCTCCCTACCCCCAGGCTGGGGTTCACTCCGCTACGCTCGCCCGGTCTTCTCCTGCCCGATGGGTTTCACACTCGGTCCTGGTCACGCTTCCCTCCGGAGGGAGCTGGCAGGCGAGGGGAGCCCTGCCTGCCTCCCCCGGCCCGGCTGACCCCCGTCCCGCTCCCACAGCAAGAAACGCTGTACACGAAGGGCCGCGAGCTGACCCCGCAGCTGTCTCAGAGCAGCGTCCTGTCCCTCGCCGATTCCCACACCGAGTTCTTCGACGCCTGCGAGGTGCTGCTGTCCGCCAGCTCTTCTGAGAACGAGGTGAGGGGGGAGGGAAGCTGGCCGTCAGAGCGGGGGGCCCTGCGGGTATAGGGGTGGGAGCCAGAGAGACTATGGGGTCCCCTTCCTTCCTCACCGCCTCAGCTGCTGCTCTGGGACCTCGGACAGCCCTGCTCACGGGGCTCTGCCGGGGACCTCCGTCCAGTTTGACGCACTCTGTCCCCATCGGGCTCCCCTGAAATTGCTGCCTCGGCTCCACCCCAGCCACCTTCTTGGGACCCCATTTCAGACCCCGTGCTCCCTTGAACCCCACCCTACACCCTGGAATCTTGGTGATCCCAGTTTCCAGTCCCTTAGTTTCCCTCACGGATTCAAAGTCCCCGAGTTTCTCTCCCCCAACCCCTCACCCTCAGCCTCCCGCCCCACGCATACGGCCAGGCCCTCCCCCAGGCATGCCAGGCCTCCCGGGCCAGTGGCTTAGGGCTCAGACCTCCCCAAATATATTCTCTTCCCCTTCCCACCAAAGGGCTAGCTGGGCAGCGTCTTGCCAGGCCCTGGGCACTGCCCAGCTGCCCGGGGGAGGCCCAGTCTGCCCGGCCTGTCATCTGTCCCGGCCCAGGGCTCAGAGGAGGAGGCGTCGAGCGTCAGTGAGATCACCACCAGCCTGTCCGAGGAGGTGCTGGACCTCCGGGGCGCCGAGCGCTATCAGAAAGGTGCCCGCCGGGTGTCTGGGCAGGGGGGGCAGGGGAGGGGCGGGGTGGCGGAGAGACGGTGGTGGCCACAGCCCAGGCCCCTGGGGAGGCAGTCCCTTGTGGTGACCGGTAGCTTTGAGTGCTAATTCCGAGGTGGCCATGGAGGTGAGGAAGGCTAAGCCATAAGCTCTGGAATGTTCCAGAAGTGGCTCCAGAGGTGGGACGGGCTCCGGTCTGGGGGCGGCGTCTCCATCCTAGTTTTCTGAAAAGGGTCAGGGAGGGCCTTGGAGACAGAGACGCCCCCACGTGGCCACTGCTCAGCAGGGTGGCTTTGGAAGTGTCGGCTGGAGCCCGTGTCCTCACCTGTGAAATGGGCTGAGTAGCCCACAGCCTGATATCAGTCTCTGTTCCCGTTATGGACTCGGGAAGGCTTTCTGGGGTACAGGGTCCCCCCTCAAGCATGTCAAGAATTAGATCCCAGCCCTAGCTGATTTGGCTCAGTGGATAGAGCGCGCGCAGGCTTATGAGCTGAAGAATTAGATCCTGCATCGACCTGCAGACCGAGGGGTCCCGGGTTCGGTTCCGGTCGGGAGGCGCATGCCTGGATTGTGGGCTCGATCCCCGGTCGGAGGGGCGTGCAGGAGGCAGCTGATGGATGATTCTCATCATCAGTGTTTCTATCCCCCTCCCCCTTCCTCTCTGAAATCAATAAAAATACATAAAAAAAAAAAAAAAAAAAAAAAGAATTAGATTCCCAGCCGCCCTGCCCCCTAGTGAGTCCAGGCTGGGCCTTGGGGGGGAGGCTGCGGGCCTGCTGTGTCCGGGCGCCAGGGAGTGACCTGGCCGGGCGGGCCCAGGGGTGTGTGTTGCAGGGAGAGCTCTGGGGCCGCCCCGTCGCCGCTGCCTGCCGGCCGCCAGCGGGCCCGGCGTGGACGTGAGCCTGTGGAACATCCTGCGGAACAACATCGGCAAAGACCTGTCCAAGGTGTCCATGCCCGTGCAGCTCAACGAGCCGCTCAACACGCTGCAGCGGCTGTGCGAGGAGCTGGAGTACAGCAGCCTCCTGGACCAGGCCAGCCGCGTCGCCGACCCCTGCGAGCGCATGGTGCGGCCCCCGCCGCCCGGCCAGTCTGGCTGCCTCCGCCCGCCCCCCCGCCCCGCCCCGCGGGCCCCTGCCTCCCAGAAAACCCTGGCCGCGCTGTCCCCTGGCTGCCCAAGTCCCACCCCGGGCCCCAGCCCGTGCTCCGGTCCCACCACCCAGCGGCTTCTCCCCGCCGCCCCCGCAGGTGTACATCGCAGCCTTCGCCGTCTCTGCCTACTCCTCCACCTACCACCGGGCCGGCTGCAAGCCCTTCAACCCCGTCCTCGGGGAGACCTACGAGTGCGAGCGGCCTGACCGAGGCTTCCGCTTCATCAGCGAGCAGGTGTGAGCGGGGAGGGGGCTGTCCTCGCGGAGGCCGGGGGGAGGGGGCACCTGAGCTTCAGAGAGGCCAGGGCCTGGGAGATGGAGGGACAGAGGGCTCTGCTCGAAGGAGCTCCCCGCTTAGTGTGGGAGACGGACTGAAACAAGGGGCTGCTGTGCCCCAGGCTAGAGCTGGGTCATGGGAGCTCATAGGAGGTTGCTGGTCTGACCTCCCAGGTGAGTGTCCTGGGAAGGCAGGCTCTGGGGCAGGGGTGGGGAATGTCCGGCCCGCCGGTGGTATAAGGCCTGCAAAATCATCTGGTCTGGCCCTGCCAAGGCAACCACAGGTGGGACTTATGACATTCAATAAATCTAGGAGCTTTTTTTCAGAGCAGCATAATTTATAGCAAATGAATTATATTAAGCAAACGATGTTAGAAATATGCAAATGGCCCTTGGCAGCAAAAAGGTTCCCCATCCCGACTCTAGGGGGTGATCTTGAGCTACGTCTTGCAGGGTGAATTGGAGTTCGCCAGGAGTGGGTAGGACGGGGGTAGGAAGGGATGGAGGTGTGAGGGACAGGGCTGGGGGACAGGGCAGGCCCAGCCCCAGGAGCCCTGTAGGTGGTGAAGGGGAGGAGGGATTGGTTGCTTTTAAATCCTGAAGGCTGCAGGGAGTCACTGGAGGGTTGGGGTGGCGGAGTGACGTGCTCAGAATCACGCTCCGTGGAGAGCATCAGGCCGAGGTGCGCGGCCAGAGAGCCATGAGGAGGCGTTCCGGTCCTTCCTCTGAGCTGATGGGGACCTGCACTTAGGCCGTGGCCGCGGGCCTGGGTGGACGGGTGGGGGGTGGAGAGCTATTTATGTCTTGCCCCTGACAGGACTCGGCGGTCAGCGGGCTGCTCTTACACACGGGGAGCAGGGAAGGAGCAGTCTGAGGGGGTCTGGTCTGGAATTCGGATTTGGGGTGCGTGTGTGGCATTGTCAGGTAGCAAGAAGATGGGGCATATGGGAGGTGGGGAACTGAGTTAGGGAGACTCCTGTCCACGGGAGCTTGACTTCCAGGGGGAGACGTCCAGCGGGCCCTGGGGCATCTGGGCTGGGAGCTCCTCGGAAAGCACTGGACAGAGGCAGAGGGATCGGGAAGTCGCCCCTCAGATGGCAGGCGGAGTCCCCGACTGCTGCCAGGAAGGGGTGGGGAAGGCGGAGGAGCCCTGAGGGGCAGGGGGAGGGCGGGGCCACGGGACTTAGGGGGTGCCCTTAGCTTCCTGATGAGGGAGATCAGACACAGGTTGGGGGTGAGGCTGGGTTCCAGGGCGGGTAAAGTGGAAGTAAGAGAGAGAAGTGCAGGATGTTTCAAAAAACAACAACAAAAAACACGTTACCCTGAGGGAAAAGAGGAAGGAAAGACAGTGGCAGCCGGAGGGGCAGATAAAGGGTTGAGGCAGCTTCGTGTGTTGGCTTAGATTTTAAATGTGTTTGAAAACGCAGTGGCGAGTTCCCACCGCCCAGCGGTGTGGAGCGCAGAGAGCGGCCCACCTCGCCCCTCTGCAGGCAGCGCGGCCGGGCCTGCCTCCCGCGTGCGCCTGACCAGGAAGGCCAGGGTTCCTCTGGCTTCAGGTGGCAGGAATAGGATCCATTTCTGTTCGGAGAGAGAGAGAGAGAGAGAGAGAGAAAACCATGCAGAGGGAAGACTGCAGTGCAGAGAGGGGTCGATGGGAGGGGGGGGACCCTGCAGGAAGGGATGGGAGGACGGACAGGAGGGGCCCTGGCCTGGCAGAGGATGGGGTGGGATCCCGTAAGTGGTGGAAGGGGTCCCCTGCTGTGTTCTCCCCCTGCTGACGGGGGTGAATGTGGATGGAAGAGCAGGCTTGGGTGGAGGCCCTCAGAGGACTGGGTGGTGCTGAGGTCCCAGGTGGAGGCCGCTGTCGGGTTTGACGTTGCTCAGCGGGTGCTGTCTGTGACACCGGGAGGGGGCGGATCTCACGAGCAGGGCGTTGGGGCAGCACAGAGGGGTCTGCAGGTGCTGGGGTGTGGTGAGTGGCCGCAGGGGTCAGGTGAGAGGCCTGGGAGCGGTGGAGGGGTTGCAGCTGCGTGGGAAGGAGGCGGAGCCTTGGCTGACAGGCCATGCAGACAAAGCAGAGCGGCCGGGAGTGCGGGCAGGAGGTCCAGGTGACAGGGGCTGGACAGAGGCCAGACCGCCGGCTGGGAGATGCCGGAGCCCAAGGTTCCGGGGTGGGCACCAGGTCAGGGGTTTCAGGTGGTGCGGAGGCTGCAGGATGATCCCCGCCTTGGGGAGAAGGGGAGAGAAGGGCCCCCCTGGGAGGGTTGGCTGTCCACGGGGCGCAGTGGAGCTCCCCTATCCCTGAGATTACTCTATCGGCCTCAGCAGGGGTTCTGGAGGGCCCCACAGACCGGGCGGTGAGAGGACTCTGGCGGGGAGTGAGTGAGAAGGGAGAGCGCAGGGGCCTCGTGGACACAGAGAGAATGATGGGCTTTGGGTGGTGGCCCAGGATCTCAGGGAGAGACTGGAACTGATCTGGTTCCCAGGGGAGGGGCGGGGAGGAAAGGGGGATAAGGGACTTTCGGGGGCCTCAAGGGCAACCTCAGAACTTCCTTGTTCCCCCAGGTCTCCCACCACCCCCCCATCTCGGCGTGCCATGCAGAGTCTGAGAACTTCATTTTCTGGCAAGGTGAGGGGGGCCGTGGGCGGGTGGACGGGGGGGCGGGGCGAGCAGGGCGGATGGGGGAGGGGCTGGGACTCTGTGGTCTTATCATTGCTGTCCCTCTCCCTGCCACCCACCTGCAGACATGAAATGGAAGAACAAGTTCTGGGGGAAGTCGCTGGAGATTGTGCCTGTGGGGACCGTGAACGTCAGCCTGCCCCGGTGCGTGTCCTGGGCGCTCGGCAGCCAGGCCCGGCCCACAGGCCCCCTCCTCCGGCGGGATTGGGGGGAGGCAGGGACGGGATGGGGGAGGCAGGGACGGGATGGGGGAGGCAGGGACGGGATTGGGGGAGGCAGGGACGGGATGGGGGGAGGCAGGGATGGGATTGGGGGAGGCAGGGACGGGATGGGGGAGGCAGGGACGGGATGGGGGAGGCAGAGATGGGATAGAGAGGTCGGCCCCAGCTGCGTGGGGTGGGCTGGTGACTGTGCCTTTGCCCCTGTATCTGCAGCAGCTTCCCATAGGAAGGGGGGGGGGGGAGCAGCTTAGCTTGGGGGAGCTGGGAGGGCTCATCATCGCCACCATCAGAGGCAGCGGCTTTCCCACTTTTTTGACCGTGACTCACAGTAAGCAATCATGGGAGACTTCAAGCCAGAACACACGCACACACAGGCACATGCACACGCACACACACACATACATACACGTACACCTACATGATCTCAGAACTGGTCGCACACTACATCCAGCTCATTTTACAGATGGGGACTGCAGTCATGCAAGTGGCAAAAAGGACTTGACGCCTCCGAGCCTCGAGCTCCCCCTTCTATTCTATAAAATAAGTGTGACCGGCAGGAAGTCACAGTTCGATTCTCGGTCAGGACACACGTCCGGGTGCAGGCTCCGTCTGTTTCTCTCTCTCTCCCTCTCCCGTCCTCTCTGAAATAAAAAATATATATATTTTAAAATAAAGTAAGAGTAATAAGTAACTCCGGTAGAATGGGGGTAAACAGGGTAGTGGAACAGGGCCACCGCCGTCCTTTTTTAAATCTCTGTGACCAAGCACGTCAGACTCGCGGCTGGCGGGCCGCATGCCTCGCTCTGCAGCCCGAGGGCCACGGGTCCGACATGCCGCGCAGGCCCTCCGGCGTTTATGAGCGGAGACGTGTTAGCTGAGTTTCTGGGGAGGCCGCTCTGCTTTATAAGCCAGGCCCCCTTCGCGGCAGGTCAGAGGCAGGACCCGGGTGTCTCCCACAGACCCGGTGCCCTGCCCCCAAAGAGCAGGGACTCTGGCTCAGGGCGGCTGCTGCCCCCTCAGGTTTGGGGACCACTTTGAGTGGAACAAGGTGACGTCCTGCATTCACAACATCCTGAGCGGCCAGCGCTGGATCGAGCACTACGGGGAGGTCCTCATCCGGAACACGAAGGACAGCTCCTGCCACTGCAAGATCACCTTCTGCAAGGTGGGCGCCCGCCCTGCCCCGCCCCCACCCCGCCCCTGCCCCTGCCCCTCCCCCGCCCCTGCCCCTGCCCTGCCCCCGCCCCTGCCCCTGCCCCTCCCCTGCCCTCGCCCCTGCCCCTCCCCTCCCCTGCCCCTCCCCTGCCCCTGCCCTCGCCCCTGCCCCTGCCCCTCCCCTGCCCTCGCCCCTGCCCCTCCCCTCCCCTGCCCCTCCCCTGCCCCTCCCCTGCCCTCGCCCCTGCCCCTGCCCCTCCCCTCCCCCGCCCCTGCCCCTCCCCTGCCCCGCCCCTGCCCCTCCCCTGCCCCTGCCCTGCCCCTCACGCTGGGGAAGCAGAGGGAACACCCCCTAACCTCCCCCCCCACCCCACAGGCCAAGTACTGGAGCTCCAGCATCCACGAGGTGCAGGGCGCCGTGCTCAGCCGCAGCGGCCGCGTCCTCCACCGGCTCTCCGGGAAGTGGAACGAGGGGCTGTACCGGGGCCCCCCGCCCGGGGGCCAGTGCATCTGGAAGCCCAGTAAGCGGGCGCGGGGAGGGCGGCGGGCGCCCGGGGCCAGTGCATCTGGAAGCCCAGTAAGCGGGCGCGGGGAGGGCGGCGGGCGCGGGCCGCTGTGGAAGCCCGCCTGCCCAGCCCCTGCCTTCCTGCCCGCAGACTCCATGCCCCCCGACCACGAGCGCAACTTCGGCTTCACCCAGTTCGCCCTGGAGCTGAATGAGCTGACGGCCGAGCTGAAGCGGTCCCTGCCGTCCACCGACACGCGGCTGCGGCCGGACCAGCGGTCAGTGCGGGCGGCTCCCCCCACCCCCACCCCCCGGCCTTCCCCGTCACTGCTTCCGGGCCTGGGGCGGGGGCCGGGGGCACCGCCCCCTGATGGCGGTCTGGACGCTCAGGTACCTGGAGGAGGGGAACATCCAGGCCGCCGAGGCCCAGAAGCGGAGGATCGAGCAGCTCCAGCGGGACCGGCGCCGGGTGATGGAGGAGAACAACATCGTGCACCAGGCTCGCTTCTTCAGGTCCGGCCGCCCTGCGGAGGGGCTCCCCGCCCCCCTCTGCCCGCCCGCATCTCCGAGCGCCTCCCTCCTGGACGCTCACTGGCCCCTCCCGGCTCCCCGCAGGCGGCAGACGGACGGCAGCGGGAAGGAGTGGTGGGTGACCAACAACACGTACTGGCGGCTGCGGGCCGAGCCGGGCTACGGGAACCTGGACGGGGCGGTGCTCTGGTAGCCCCGGCCCGGGGGCGGGAGGCTGCCCCCTGCCCCCCGCCTCCACCCCCACCACGGACTCATGGGCGGCGAGGCCAGGCCTCCCCTCCGCCGCCCCGGAGGCCACGGGCCCGCCCGGCCGGCTGCTCCCCTCTGCCGGCCAGAGGGCTGCGTCCGCCCGCCCGCCGGCCTCCGTGTTTCGGTGAGAACAGGGTTCGTGCTTCCCAGTCTCGTTGTCCCCGTCACCGGCATGTAAGACCCTTCTTGCTCTGTCCCCCCCTGTCTCCCCTGTCGGGGGGCTTGGGGAGGCTCCCGGCTCTCCAGGACGGTTCCCCTGGTTCAGTGCCTTCCCAGGACACAGGGGACCCCTGGGTGCCCCCCAGGCTTTCTGTGCCCCGGGCTCTGGCCCCGCTGTGTGGTTGGGGTGAGTGAAGGAGAGGAGACAACGGCATTTTCTTCCACCTCGACCCTCCCAAGCCCCTCACCAGCGCCCCCCGGGCCCCCGCCCAGCGGGGCTCCCCCTGCTCGGTCCCCTTCTCCCCGACTGCAAAACACCGGCACCCGCTCCTCCCGCCCCAGCCCCACCGGCTGCTCCCGGGGCCGGAGCAGCTGTGCAGGCAGGGCTCCCGGCTCCGAGCCCACACCGCCCCGTGTGAGTGAGTGTGTGTGTGTGTGTGTGTGTGTGTGAGCGTGTGCGTGTGCAGAAGAGCACGTGTGAGCGTGTGTGCGTGCCTGAGGACTGCTTGCAGGCGAGCAGGACCCCCACTGCAGCCCGGACCTGGGCGTCCGCCGCTGTCGCTGCTCCTTTCACACAGTCTGCCTCTCACCGAGGGGCGCTGCCCGCATTCCCAGCGCCAATAAAGATCCCGGACTCCGCCCTGTGACGTTCACTTAGACACGCGCCCGGCTCAGCAGGTGGAAGCCCTCTGCCCTCCATCCTCACAGCCTGTGTGGCTGCTTCTGTCCTTGTGGCCAGTGGTCGGCAAACTCACCAGTCCACAGAGCCAAATATCCACAGCACAACGGTTGAGATTTCTTTGGAGAGCCAACAATTTTAAACTGAAACTTCTTCTAACGCCACTTCTTCGAAATAGACCCGCCCAGGCCGTGGTATTTTGTGGAAGAGCCGCAATCAAGGGGCCAAAGAGCCGCATGGGGCTCAAGGAGCCGCGGTTTGCTGACCGCAGCTCTAGGCGGTACCTGACCTTGCCTGGAGGTTATTGCAGTGGCCTCGGTGCCCCAGTTACTTCCATTGTAATGCTGGCTTTCAGGATGAGGTTGTTTTTTGTTTTTATATATATATATATATATAGATAGATAGATAGATAGATAGATATAGATATATCTATTTTATTGATTTCAGAGAGGAAGGGAGAGGGAGAGATAGAAACATCAATGATGAGATGCCTCCTGCACACCCCCTACTGGGGGTCAAGCCTTCAACCCAGGCATGTGCCCTTGACTAGAATTGAACCCAGGATCCGCAGGCCAATGCTCTATCCACTGAGCCAAACCAGCCAGGGCTCAGGGTGAGATTTTAAAAGAGAAAAAGAGTAGCTTGGACTGCTTTAAATATATCCATCGCTTCTGAGTGCCTACAGGGAAAGTCAAAACAACTCAACCAGGCAGAAAACTGGTCCCTGCCACCCTCTGGCCCAGAGTGCTGACCCCCACACCCCAGCAAGCATCCTGGGTCCGTCTGCCTCCACCTCCACCCCCAGATTCGCGTGTGTTCAAGGAGAGGCGGGAGGGAAGAGGTGAGAAGGGGCTGGCGAACAGGGCAAGCTGCGGTTTCTCCACTCCCCCACCACCCAGGCCAGCAAACTCATTAGTCAACACAGCCAAATATCCACAGCACAACGATTGAGATTTCTTTTGAGAGCCAACATATTTTTAAAAAATATATTTTATTGATTTTTCACAGAGAGGAAGGGGAAGAGAGAGAGCTAGAAACGTCTATGAGAGAGAAACATCGACCAGCTGCCTCTTGCACACCCCCTACTGGTGATGTGCCCGCAACCAAGGTACATGCCCTTGACCGGAATCAAACCTGGGACCTCTCAGTCCGCAGACCGACGCTCTATCCACTGAGCCAAACCGGTTTTAGCGAGAGCCAACATTTTTAAACTTCTTCTAACGCCACTTCTTCAAAGTAGACCCGCCCAGGCCATGGTATTTTGTGGAAGAGCCACACTCAAGAGGCCAAAGAGTCGTATGTGGCTCGCGAGCCGCAGTTTGCCGACCACGGACCTATTTTAATACTATGTGATCGTGGTCAAGTGCGTGACCTCTCGTCGGACACTTCGTCCCTGCATCCGGCTTCTTGTGTCTTAGAGGAGACCAGGTGGAGTGGCCCAGACTCCTGAGTTCATTTGTTGCCTCGGCCCCCGACCCCATCCCCCGGCGGCGGCAGGCCCAGGCCCTGCTCCGGTTTGAGGGGGGTCCTGAGAGCAAGTTGTGCCTCCTCTGGGGCTTGGGGGGGCTCCTGAGTCACCAGGTCCTTCCTATCCCAGTCCTCCCCCCTCCTCCCCCAACTGGGGCAGGGCAGAGGGCCACATCTCCAGTTTCAGTGTCAAAGTCAAAACCAACACACATGCCCTGACACCACCTACCAGAAACCACCCCAACCCATCCCAGCACATGTTCTGGGTTTTTGTTTTGTTGTTTTTTTTAGAAAACAAGGTGCACGGTCTCCCTTCCCTCCCGGCTTCCACTCAGAGCAACCCAGAGTCTGACCGACCAGCCTGGGCTCAGCCTCCACAGGTTTTAAGAATCAGGGTTTCAAACAGACGGAGTGGCACAGATCGCTTTCAAACGGCGAAGGAAGACCAGCCACAGCTCTGCCCACAGGAACCCGCCCCCTGTGGCCGGTGCCATCTAGACGGGCGTCTCCTCCCCGCCGGGGGGCCAGCTCGGCAGCGGGAAACGGTCAGGCTGGTTTTGCTCTCGCTGGGGCCCAGCTGTGCGGGGCTTTCCTGCTGGAGGACTGAGGGCTTCTCAGAAACCCTCCCCCTGGTCAGGGGGCCACTGCTGACGGGGTGCCAGGCCACGCCGTGCTCTGCGACAGAGTGTGAGGGCCCCAAGCCGCTGTGGGTGGGTGGGTGGTGGCCACCTCCCAGCTGCTGGGAGACTGGCTGGGACGTGGAGGGGGCGGGGCGGTGGGTGCTCAAGTCAGGTCTGAGGCCCTATTTTTTTTTTTTTAATAATATATTTTATTGATTTTCTACAGAAAGGAAGAGAGAGGGATAGAGAATTAGAAACATCAATGAGAGAGAATCATCGATCAGCTGCCTCTTGCACACCCCCTACTGGGGATGTGCCCGCAACCAAGGTACATGCCCTTGACCGGAATCGAACCTGGGACCTTTCAGGCTGCAGGCTGACGCTCTATCCACTGAGCCAGACCGACAAGAGAGTTTTGGCTGAGGCCCTACTTTTTAAAAATATATATATATTTTTATTGATTTCAGAGAGGAAGGGGGAGGGAGAGAGAGAAACATTGATGATGAGAATCATTGATCAGCTGCCTCCTGAACACCCCACTCTGGGGATCGAACCCACAACCAGACCGGGAAGGCGGGCCCTCGTTGGGAGCACAGCTCCTGGGAAACGGGGTATGAGATGGAGACTGGGAATTCGTGGGCAAACACAGGAGAGACTTAGCTGCAGGCCGAGCGGCCATTGCTACCCCAGGAGCCACCAAAGCAGAAGCAGCTGCACAAAACAGCCCCCAAACCGGCTGCTCAGGGGCAACTTATACACACGCTCCAACAAGGCCTCGGCCAGCCGTGCTGCTGGTGCCACGTGGACATGGTCAGGCAGCCATTGCCCTCAGCTGCTCCTGCAGAGGGGCCCCTCACTCATGATACTGCCGTGCCCTCACCTGCGGGCACGCGTGTGGCAAACTGGCCTCGATCACCCCGCGGGCTCTGACGAGGGCTCCCTCCGCCCTATTCCTGAGCCCATCGCAGTCCAGCCCAGTGCCACGCAGGAGCCCAGCCCTGGCTCCGGCTTTGGTTGGGGATGTGGCAGGCCTGGGCAGGGGGAGGACGGTGGGCTTGGGAAGGAAGGGGATGGACCAGACCTGCTGCAAAGCCAGGCCCGTCCCTGTGAGCATGGTCAGAGCTTGAGGAGCTGAGGAACTTCCTGAGCCCAACAGTGGTGACGGGGTGGGGTGGGGGGAGCTCTCACGTCAACCCAACAGCCAGAGCGAGAGCGAGAGAGAGAGGGAGAGACTGTGTTTAAAATTTTAGCTATTGAATAGCTAAGGGGCGCCTAGGTCACAAGGGGTAAAAGGCTGGAAATCTTATCACCCTACCTCCCTGGGTTTTCTGGATGGAGAGCGGCTTTGGGGGCGGGGGTGTATTTATAACAAACCGAGAGGGGAAAGGAGGCCGAACCAGCCGGGAGCAGGGTTTCAAAGATCACACAGTCGGACATTACAATGGTGAAAACAGATTTTACTGGGTGAGGACTGACAGGGAGAGCTGGCATTTAAAGGGACAGTGAGGGGTGGGCAGGGGGGACAGTGAGGGATGGGGGGACAGTGAGGAAGTGGGTAGGGGGGACAATGAGGGGTGGGGAGGGGGACAGTGAGAGAGGGGGAGGGGGGACAGTGGGGATGGGGGGACAGTAAGGAAGTGGGCAGGGGGGACAGTGAGGGAGGGGGGACAGTGAAGGATGGGCAGGGGGGACAGTGAGGGATGGGCAGGGGGGACAGTGAGGGATGGGAGGGGGGGACAGTGAGGGAGGGGGACAGTGGGAGAGGGAGGACAGTGAGGGATGGGAGGGGGACAGTGGGGGATGGGGGACAGTGGGGGATGGGGGGACAGTGAGGGAGGGGGACAGTGAGGGAGGGGGAGGGGGACAGTGGGGGATGGGCAGGGGGATAGTGGAGGATGGGGAGGGGGACAGTGAGGGATGGGAGGGGTCAGCCCGGGCTCCCCGGACGCCCAGTGCAGCCCAGGTCCTCCCGGAGGGAGGCAGAGCTCGGTGTGGGTGCAGACACCGGCACTAGGTTTC